GAGGATCTTTAACTATTGCAAGTGAAGACTTACACTGTTGTTATTAGTCAAAGCGACAGAGCCGAACGTTCATAGAAACAATGGTGAAATAATTTGGACGTGATGGTGAAATGCTATCTTAGCCGCATCACACTGGGCGTCTCCACGAGAGGGGAAGTAAGGGCCGCTCTAGTCGGTCGGCCGGCTGCCGATTCTGTTATCGATATCCTAAGTAATTAGGAGTACGGCGTAATTCGGATATGTGCTGTTTACCGATGAACTGATAATATGAGTCGTGCGAGAAGTTTACAATAGAAAGGAATATTGTCTAAAACACAAAAATTGTCAAATACTAACGAATAACGAACAACGGTGGCAAAAACAGGGCCTATAATTCAATCGTCAACACACGGAAGAATATAAGGCAGCCGATAGGATGGGCAAACAATATGAACCAAACATCAATAGACTTTATATGTGAGATACGATCATCTCGCGCTTTATTATTAGCGATTACTGCTACGATTTTCACCGTCGTGCATAACTGAGCAAAGTATGACTGACTTGATACTCGTACATTTCAATTTTCTATCAAGACCACTCACTCTTCTCAAAGCAAAGGAAATTGTGTTTTCCATGTTACACTTGAAGACATTGCATAAAAGTATACAGGGTCACCTTTCTACTGATTTTCGCCTCTGTATTATATATTTTCTTATTAAAATACAAGTAAATAACTATGCAGGTTCAACAATGGTATGACAACAATATAATCAGTCGCCGCACCTCTGCTTCATGCTAATTTTTCCCTCCGAGACACCGGAAAGACAAAAACCTTCTCCCAGATAACTACATGTCTTCCTCATGCTGCTCTTAAAGGGCATAGGCATTGAATCGTAAATACTATCCACGATACAACTTTCCAGCTCACGTTTCGAAGGATTTTCACTTTTTTTTTGATGAACTCGCGGTCTAGCAAAAGCCTTGACTTTTCAAGCCATCTTTGACACTGCTTCAACGTTAACGCTGCTTTGCCGCGCTTCGTGCTGTTATTCAAGGAGTCCAGTCCAAGGAGGAAAGCCCTGTTCGAGTGATAGTGCCTATATCATGAGCTTCTCCAACACAATGAAACTCACGTGTAGCATGAAATTGTACTGATTATGTTGTTTACCATGAAATAAAACTATTAACAATCATACGTAGACAGTTAGCGTAACCGACTACTACAGAGGCGGGTGTGCGTTGTAGAACGGGCGTACAGACAATCGCATCGTTGACACTGGCGGAATCGACAAGCAAAGGTCGCTGCCTAACATTTTGTTTGTCACGTCCACCGCTTATTGAGAAACAAAGAAAAGGAATGGAAGTACAATGAGGAGTTTCATATAGTCCTGAACTACTGATTTGTCCAGATTAAGAGAGTGTCTGAAACGCCTGCAGCGATGACGTTAGGGAATGGCATGCTACGCTGTATAATCCTAGTTCAAAGTCAATGGCGATGGCAGCGATCAAACGAATGACGTATTTTGAATTACCATTACCTGATCGCTACTTCGTTAAGAAACGCGAACAACAGCGTAAATAACATCGCAATATTTCGCTAGACGAAAACCGCGCACTGCGGAGTCACCAGTGACTGGAGTAAGAAAGGCATTTTTTTTTGTGCAGATGAACGCGGACGAGGAAGATCTATCCAAATGAAGAATCCAGTTTACTGCGAATTTGGCCATCATTAAGCAAGCACTTGGGTCTAATCTTACTCGGATCCGTACAGATAGACAACGACAAACGTATAACCTTGCTGAGATTTATTGAACACCGTTTGAATACTACGACTATTTATTATCTTTAAATTCGTCCTCCATGCCAAAATCTCATAAAACTAGGACACAAAAACGGGTTCCTGCTGTATTCAAAATATTTTTGTTGAACGTACATTTGGTACCAACTACTGATCATATGCGACAGTTCGTGTCTTAAAACGTGTGCACTTTATATGCATTTTTGAATCTGGGCATGAAGCTAAAGCCCAGCTTGGTGCAAAGAATGGGTATCGGGTATTTTGTAGTTAATGGCTGGTGCATGTGTACCTGGATCAGATTAGGCTTACCCCATATAGCAGTTCTCTCAGTTTCTACCCTGTGAACTATCCAGGCGAGATATTTTAAAGATAGGAACAAGGCGTTAAAAGTGTAAGGTAAGATTCGCAAAGGTAAACTACCTGCAATTAGAGTTCATACTAAAAAAGAATTACTTCAAGTGGGAATTAGATATTGCCTACATGGAGATAGAAAACTAAGCGATGTTTTGCCCAGATAGCTAGCTAACTTATGAAAACTTTAAAATGGCGCTGGTGGCAGAGCGAGGTACAGTTTACCTGCTATCTTGCAAACTATCCTCTATCATGAACTTCACAGAGGAGGAGTAGTATGTAGATAATGAAACACCTACAAGGAAAACGTTAACAAGATTATTAGAAAAATCCCAACTATGATGTCTTCAAGATACAGGGAACTGCGCCCTCGATTTCAACTGGGTAAGTGTACAGACTCCCTAGCTATTTAATTCAATATATTAATATATAGCAAGTAGAATAATTCGATACTGTAAATACTATCCGCATGGTAAACCTGTACGCTGATACCATCCGACATATATATGTACAGAGAGAGAGCAAGGATGCGTACTACATTAATTAATTGTAAATACTGTTGGTATTGTTATATTTAGTTAGTTATCGTTTGGCTATTTGAGCAATTCCCTCGTCCCAGCAAGACACAATTTGTGGGACGATTTCGGCATTATTTTACCCAACAGCACTAGCCCAACGCCTGCTATTACGCAAGACAAAAACCAACAAGCAAAAAGAAGCCCACTCAACGTCATAATCTCGTTAACAAGTCGTTTTGTAGCCGCCTGATGCGGTCGTCGCTAAGTTAACGCATCGACTGTTTAGTAAAAAATAGTCTTTGTCCCATTTGAGCGATCCAAAAAAACATCGTTCATTGAAAGAAGCCCAATGCACGGAAACCGTAATGAGAAGTCTTCTGGCGTCTCGGGAATATGAAAAAAGGACGGATTCGATAACAATCGAGAGCCAGATAGAGACTTGCCCGCTTGAAAATTAAGGGGGATCATGGTATTGAGGCGAATAGAAGTGAGGTCAGATAGGACGTCAAGTAACCTCTACCTAATGACAAAAATCTGAGAAGGGGTGCGGAAGTGACAGAAAGCAGAAGTAATGAGATCTTTTGCTCCAATCTCTAAGTCGTCTAAGTACTTCTTAGCGTCGAGCTAAGGATAACAGTTGTTTGATTTTGGATACTGCTGACCCCGCGGAACGATGATGGTGAAAAGCGAAATAGCTGCTGCTGATGCGTCTAGAAAAGAAACGCCTGAATGCTCTATTTTACTCCAGCAATATACATAGAGATATATCGGCGCGAAGGTCATAAGCGCGCAGTCTGGCGAAGTATACGAACCAAAGATGCACAGTGGCACTACGAGATGGGTAGATGAAGAGGGGGCATCGTTCAAGCAACTATAAGTACCGTTTTAGGTTTCCTTCGCTCTTGATGCCGCAAGGTGAACGTTGATAACGAGGTCTTTGACTTTTTTTTATTAAGCTAACGAAACGGAACACTTCGACGGAGTACTGACAATAAGGAGGCTTAAGTGGAAGATCACAGAATTTGAAAGGAAGGCCCTTATCAAAAGCTTGGTCATTTTACAATTATTTTCGTGATTTTAATATGGGCCATTCCTTGTATATCTTGAAAGCTATTATATGTATAAAACATTAAAAAAAAATATATATAAATATATTGAATAGATGACTTAACCGTTTTGTATGGCCGTGTTAATGACCGATTGAAACATGCTAATCTAATATACCATCTCAAAATGCGTGACTTGAAAAATAGAATTTTTCCATACCTCTAAGTCTGAATAAAGTATTATCAGATTAAAAACCTCATTCCTGATCGGCATCGCACCCTAGAATAATTGTATACCTGCTTTAGAAATCAATTATCAGATCGTTTTTGCATCCGAATTGTATCGTTTCTAATTTTCTACGTCTGTAAGACTCTGTCTTTTACGGGAGCAGCAGAGCAACGCTAATAGAAATATGAACTAAGTTAGCTTCAATCCTAATGATCATAACCGCGACGCGTCACTTAAAACGGTGCTATGCTACAATCATGTAAAAGTAACGGAAGAAGAGAGCTATGGCGTACACTTTTTATTATTTTCCACCTACACTTATTTTCAAGCGTATGATATCTGTGTGTCCTCGCTGTCGGAGAGCCCTTGCGAATGCAATGGGTACGAAGTTCTCTAAGGTCATAGCTAACAGGCGTGTCATAAAATTACAGACAATTAATTAATCAAGTGAACGGTGATTACTAACCACTAGTTCTACGTAGATATCGAATTGTTCTTCGTGAGCTTGCGCTTGTTAGGCGCATGGCGGAAACTCAAGGAAGAGTTAGGTAAAATAGTGCCAAATTGGCGCTGAATGCTCAGATCGAGAAGGGAGGCGTACCCAGAACAACCAGAAATGGGTCAGGGTCATTGTCTTACAGAGACGAGGCCGACCCAAACTGCCTTACGTCAGCAGGCGCTATGGGTATGGAGAGTTGATAGGACCGAAGGGTGGGGCATAGGCTGAACCCGGAGGTGCAGATGGAGCCGCCAAGAGAAGAGGCAAAACAAGCAATTCATTTGGGGAACGACTATTACCATAATTAGCAAAGGTTGATACAACCGAGGCTGATATAGAGAAAAATCGGTTCGTTTAATAATTTTTCGACCGTAAAGGAGTGTGGTAGAGGCTGTAGGAACTGGGCCGTAAAAAAGAATAGTTAACAGTATAATGTTACGCATGATACTGAATAGGCTTTATAACATACACCATTGATATGTTTGATACTTGAAGTCATTTATTTATTAATATGGTTATCTAAGGCAAACCCAAAACGTTAGATAACACGGATGCAGCTATTTTTTTTTTATCACAGATGTCCATGTCCCTCTGGAGCGTCTACTATCAGCGACCGCTTGCAAGTGTCCAACGTCGCTGTCCTCGGGCGGCCCGAGAGGCGCATTAGGCTTTGTGACCCAGGGGCATCCGTATAAATGTTGCTGCTGCTGCCGCATCCACAAAGCGACGGCCACCGTCACAACGGACACCAATTCAAGTCAAGACCGTTCGACACTGCTGTCACGCATCGTCCCTGACACGGCAAGTGTCACAGTCAATCATCAATGCCGAGAAAATTTCCCGAGCAAGGTTTGTATGGCCTGGCTGTCACGCAGATGTGTTGTATTTACACTCGTATACACCCTATATGTTTCGTTTGAAATATGCTTATTGATCAAATGTATCGATGTTGTTGTCCATTCCTAAAGCGAGCAGATTAACATCAGATAGCTACTCTGATCAGGTATTTTGTCACAATTTTTATTAATATCTGCATCAATCGCTGTTCGTCGCTAGGCGACCCCAGTAGCCCCCTTCAATTAGCACCGTCAAGTGTCGTAATTTACAGACCCGCAAACTGTCGCTCCGGTATTACGAACTCCACCCTACGAACATATATATTTATATATATGATTGTTACCGGAATTAAGCAGTACTATTCGTAGGGAAGCATTAAAATTTGTGTTACTATATTTGTGTGTTTTTAGCCATCGAGCTGCGAAATCAGCAAGTTGAGTGTTATCTAATTACTAACGAATTTTCGTTTACTGCAATAAAGCGTAACTAACACAATTTCGCATGGCTTCATTTGTTTTTCGTGTCACGTTACGTATATATAATATGTTAAAAGGTCGGTCCAGCTGCTCGAATCTACTTCGCGATACAGAATAGTAGCTCCCTACTTCGACTACGAAGTTTACAGTTGGTGTTTGAGACCGTTGGAGCACGAGATCGTTTTGTTACGTCCGTATGGCGAGCGATCGAGACCCTCGTCGATCGGCCTCGCAAATTGCTCGTCTTCATCAACCCCTTTGGCGGCCGAAAACGGGCACGGACCATTTATAACGAAAAGGTACGTCATTGCGGTGTTCACGCCGATAATATGCATACTGGGGATTTGTTTCTTCGGCGACGTACTAACTAGACATGTTTAGAACGACGTAACTGTCTAAAATTTTGTTTCTAAAAAGCTAATGTTTACCATAGTAAAAAAGTGCTTCTAAACATTATTTTAGCGTACTTTGTAAAGATGGGTCAATATATTCTTATGGCTTAATAAGATGTGAGCGTCCTAGAACGTTCATGATTGAAGCTTTTGTTCTTTCTTCTTCTAGGTTAAGTTCCGCTAGTACAAGTCTTTGTGGATAACTTACACAAAACGAAACCGTACCTTGAAGCATTTCGTTAAAAAGACACGACTATTATTGAAATTTTAACAATTTCCAGATAGATTCCAGAGACCTTTGTTCGTCCAAAGAGTGTAAAAACGATTGTAAAATGCGCTCTTAAGTTATTCTGGCCGCAGCTTTAAAAAATCACTAAAGAATCGAAAGCTGGCACAACAATGACGGGCATTGAATATATAATTAGCATATAACAAGATCGTCAGTATATCATCGTTGAAGTACTTAGGCTCTTCGATTTTTTCAATAGAGCCCGATCAGTTTTAGCACCAGTTCGACAACGGCTGGCCTATAACATGTTCCTATCATGCTATTAGTAGTTTTTACAATATCGCTACTTAGAATAAATACATATCCTCGTAGACTAGATTAACGAACAAGTTATTTTAAGGTTAGAATTGAACCGCTTTACCTCCTGTTCATTACATGAACCATCCACCCTTGTATTATTCATGTACTGCCCTTTATTGATTCATTCGCCGTCAGGAGATCTAAAGAGCAACCGAGATGGATCGATCGTGATAATAATTTGCTAACGTTACCAAAGAGAGCACTGCTAGAACGACACTACGATGTTGCACGCTAGGGGCGGTATATCCCTTCGTCAATCATCAGACGCTGTCGTCTCCGCCGCTGGCGCAGTAGTTATGCCATGAATCATCATAAGTGGGTCGTGTACCCGTACTGATGGCTTTGGTAATATGTACTGAGATCGGTGAACGCGACGGCGGTCCAGCCTTTCGAAAAACGAAAAGTATCTAACGGCTAAGCTGCTTACGTAGGGAAATATAGAAACCGTTTTCATTCCCATAAAGGATGGAATACATAGTGAGAGTGGTTCTTTTCAACGCCGTTTCTGCTTTCTCTGTCCGATAGATGGTGACTGAAGATGAATGCAAAGCTAACTAATAAATATTTTATGCAAGCCTTAAGAAGAAACGGACTTTCTGCGTGAATATCTAATGTTGGTGCTATTGGTTATTCTGTTCTGTGTTTCAGGCTGCACCCGTTTTCCAGATATGTGGTATCCATTGCGTAATAGTTATCACAACGCATTCTGGTCACTCTAGAGAATACGTAACAGACAAAGATCTCAGTGTTTACGATGGGTAAGACCCTTTAACCCGACAAATTATTACTATTTAGAGGAAAAAACAAATCAAACACGACTGTAGATACACCGGCAGTTGTTGAGCGTGGTTACTATTTAGGCCGATGTATGTAAGGATATTGAATGATTTGATTCCGTGGAACGGTGCGGTTACGTACGCACCTTTCTTCCTGTATGATTTCGATGTTTTTATTATTTATCATACATAGTAATTCTTCTGGTATTTACGCAATTTTCCTTTATAACACCAAACGATTCAGCCAAGTAACCAAACATCTATCGGACCACATCGCTTCACACGTGAGTGGAAGTACTACATTTATTTGCATAATTCTAAAGCTAAAGCGACTGATTTCCTTTGACTCATCATATGTAGCTGTTGGAAATATATTAAAACATTGTAAAAATCGTACTACTTTTGAAACATCTTTCGGTAGAAGCAAACGGCAGAAATATGGCATGGATTTCTACGTTTTAGGTAAATTTCTACACATTTTGATACTATTCTTCATCATGTAGCTATGCTATGAACTTTGCGTTATATGAAGTGATAGCTTCTGTGATTTTCTTTTTAGTTGTTTGTAACTGATATAAATAGCCAACATATACTACCTTGTGATAATTGAAGATCTACTACACGTTTGTGTGATTGTTTACCTTTCAGTTAATACAATCATAACCTTATTTATGATCTACGTCTATATTACACTCCACTAGGTTTGTAACGGCCTCAGCTCGCTGTTCAAATAGAATGCAGACCTAATGTTCCTCAATGTTTGTGAGGATAATGTTAACATGGCTCACTGATGTGGTGGGGGCCTTGCTTCTGCAGGCCTGGTATTCAGTCGAATGAGGACAAGAATTAGTAGCTATAATTATTTTTCAAAGTTCTGTACATGCTAATGAAAGGGGCAGGTCCCTTCGGCCAACACAGGATTTGGTGGACATACAAAGCTTAGTATCATGAATCCATATTACTTCGCCCACTACCACTAAGTTGTCCGTGTAGAAGCATAAATATTAAGCGCATTATTTGCAGTGAAGCTATAAAACGTGCTCAAGTACTACTTAAAACATCGTATCAACCTTTTGTTACATTAAAGTAATGTCTTACCCTACTACTAAGTCCTCGTTCTGGTTTATTAGAGCAGATTTTACAGAATCGTCTCTAAAGGGCCACTGATTCACCTTAGTACGGAACGTTTCAGAAGGCCAATAAAAGGTTTCATTGGTAGTATAATATATAAAGCTTTTTCCGTCGTCACGTGGAAGTAAATGACAATACTTTATTTGGCTATGCAGTTTTTTTCTTTTATAATATGTAAACATTATTGAAAAGCAATGATGCGCGTGCGGTCTGTCCGCAAGCCCTTCAAATTACGAAGGCCGAAACATCGCGTATAACATGCGCTGATAAAATTGATGGTATTGATGTATGCCATTGTTGCTTAATAAGTAAACTCTATAACGATGTACCACAACCATAATCTGAGATATAAATACGCAAATCGATATGATAACGTTCGCATGACGACGCTTGAAACTCTGTTCTATTGGACGTACTGTGACTACGGACGTGGAGAATGCTTGGTTGAAACTGGTTGTGGTCGTTGCATCGGAAGTTGTAAGGGTTTGTTTGAATCTGTTGAAGGCTTTCTTCAATTGTATATAGTAACGTATTTTGTTGCCTATATTGGTATTATTTGGTTTCAGCGTGGTCTGTGTTGGTGGAGATGGGATGGCAAACGAATTAATTAATGGTTTAATGCAGAAAACTTTGCGGAGTGCAGATGCAGCTGCAACTGCTGCGACCCACCAATTGCTGCAGGATGAGAAGCACCTCGATGCATCAGCAGCTGGAAACGGCGAGACTTCAGCAGGGGGCAGTGGCGGAGTCAATGTGCAGGCGAGCGGATTTGAACTGCCTGGCCGACCATCCCTTCCGGTGGGCGTCATTCCTGCAGGAAGCACAGACGCCCTCGTATGCACAACGACCGGGGCACATTGTGCTTTGAACAGTGCTCTTCACATTGCAATCGGTGAGTAGGCGTAGTAGGAGAGTCAGCTCCTTATGCGTATTGTGTGCGTCTGCCAGTCCGGACACTTTTTACCAAGTTAGCAGATTTTGAGAAAATATTTTCGTCCAATATGAGATTCTGATTAAACTTTACTATTGCTATAACAAACGATCATTTGCCATACGAAAAGCCTGATCATTCATCTGACAAATGTCTGTTTTGACGACTGGTTTGTCTCACTCCACTATTCGATTGTCGAGCATACCCTTACGTGTCATACGGCGCATTGTTTTGCATACAGAGCATGCTTGATATAAGGCAGTATGTGATTTAGCGTCGTTGCGGAAGGTATTTAGGTGAAATTAATATTACCTATTCATGAGCTAGATCATGGTGAAGAGCAAAAATTACGAGAGCTGAAAGACACACATTCAACGGACGCTCTTATTTAATGCAATTGTCGTTTCCTTTAACAGATTTTTAGTTGAGACCTAAACCGCTAACAGGTATTTCTCGAACGCGTCCCATACAGTTGATATAACTCAAGGCTGTTAAGCTGTCTAAAAGAAAACCTTACCCTCCGTGAAGCCTTAAACTGTTTACAACCCAGTTTTTTAATTAATGGCATTTTCGTATCGGTTGTTCGTGTCGCCCAAAGGCGTGTGGTCTTCTGTTCAATGTAATGTCGACTCGCCCAAGCTTATGCAGCTTTCCACTTCTTCGTAACGGTTTTGTCTTTACGGAAGAAGCACAACGACCTGGAGCTTCCACATATCAGACGTGACCACGCCTAGTTCTGGCCGAAATTGAAATAATATATCATTTGGTTTAGTTAGGTTCGTTCTAAGCGTTTGAATAACAACGACTGAAATGTACACTGTAACAAAATATGATAATAACATGATTGGCCTTTAGAAAGTATCTATCTGGCTTCCATGACACAATAATTTATACTTCTAGTGAAGTTTCTGTGTGCAGTTTCGATTAAATCCAATTTCAAAATGAGACACCTGCATCGACAGACGTGCGCTTTTACACCATTTCACAATTAGAACTGCGCTTTGTTGGTGGTGTTCTACATTAATGTACAGAAATATCTCTCGGATCCTTCAGAATTCGCTTGAAAACAAGCAACAGCTTAGACTACCGCTCTGGGGCAGAAATAACACGTCGCGATTCAGACTTTAGGTGCGAAGACATTGGCATTGGCTAATCTTCGCCTAGTTTTAAAAGTAGTTCAGCCTCGTCCTAAAAATCTGTTGTTTTCTTTCAGAAAAAAAAAACTGCTTTCCTTCTAGCAGCGCGGGTTGCGTATAAACAGCTAACCAATTTTCGTCCCAATTAAGTCTACTTTAATATTATTATCTAGGTTCTATAGGAGTTATACTACTTGTTAGTTTTCGCACCGTTAATGGTAAACCAGTGAGTAAGTCATTCCGAACGTAAACATCCGCGTTCTGTCTTCAAGGGTAGGAGACACAGACTGATGTGACAAACTGCGAAGTTCCCATGACGGCAGAAGGCTTTGAACTATAATCCATTATTAGAACTCACTGCTTATATTGATATTTTTTAAATTATACGTTTACAGTGAGACGAGATATTAGAACTTTACATATTGCAGCAATGACAATAAATCATACCTCGATACCAAAGCAGTGTTTTAAACCTGGCCTCAATTTCGACATAGGTTGCGATAGTTACCTACCAACACATTGACGCATCTATGTGAAAATAACGCACATGCTCATATATAATAAAGTGTGCCTTCTACTGGAAGCCAGTTCGCGCTTAGCGGTAAATGAAGCAGGATACACAATATATTTCAAAGATAAAAAGGAACGGTAACTGGGTAAGAAAAAAAGTTTTTAAAAAGCCCACTATTTTTATTATGCTTCATATCTTATTGCACTGGCATTTAGAATAGCGTTATATTCTGCTATTGTCCGCATGCGGAGCTTGACAAAGGGACTATTATTTAATGGTATACGTGCCAGTGGGTTGAAAAATGTATCTTACTAAACGTCTGCGATGCATGGACCAACTTATACAGTTAATTATCAATGAACATTAAAACAAATAGATGTCTTTGATGTTTAATATGAAGTGAACTTGCTACCAGCTTCACAATAACATTGCTTCCATTATTTTGCCCTTTTTACCTAATGCTAATGGTATCACGGCTCTCTCGCATATTGCAAATATTGGAGCATGACGTCGATCGTGACGCACATAATGATGACCAACCGACCATTGTCAATTGGCCGGCGTGTCTTGCCGCACGTTCCTCAAATGAATTCCTGGCTCCCGATGCAACGCTTTTTGCCAATTTATCGAATAAATTGACTCACTTGAGTGAATAAACCCCGTCACCTTATTGACCCTATCAGGCTCACAGTAGGTCGAACGCAATACGAAAACAACATCCCCAAAGGCTGGCTTTACCGTTTTGGTAAGCTTGCCTGTATCTGCATATTATAACTAAGCCAGGCGGGGAGGGTAGCGTTGAAAGTAATTTGGTGGTAAGGAAAAATGGTCTCCATATTCATTATCGCGTTACTACTACACCCGTCTGTTGTAACATACGTTTCTCAGAATAAAGTTAAATACGACTCTTACAGATCATCACTTGTTAAATTAATGACGATCTTCCTCTAACGTAAGCGCCAAACGTTGCTGAATAGTCATGAAGTAAGCTCGTGATATATATATGTTAAGTTACGATAGAAAATACAAACAGTGGCTATGATAAACGCGCGCACCCGAGTACGCGTCCCTGCAACTGAATTAGGGTTTGTATCAGCCTGACCTTGCAAGGATGAAGAATTTTCGACCCTTTGGCGTCCTTGGACCATGATTTATTTTCCTATTTACTGTCAAGAATCCTCATCGCGTAGTACCCGTAATAATACGTACGATAGTTACCAATAGGAAGACTACGGCACACACGAAAGAAAAATGCTGAAATGAAATTTTCGTTGCAGTAAAAATACGTATATGACTAAATTCACTGGCCCACCGTAACGTAAACAGGTCATATGTAAGGTTTGATAATATCTCCTGTGTGTTTCGTCATTTCTTCCGTTCGCAAAGGGTCTTTTCTGCAAAAGATATTTTTCTGGGCGTGTCTTTTTTTAAATATTTATTACCGCTGTTCGTGAACTGGCTTTTGTAAAGTCGTTGTGTGTTCACGACAGGCGTGTTTCTCATTACTTTGTCGAGGGTCCGCAGTGCAAATCTATTTCGCTCAAGATTTCAACATCTAGTTCTATGATTGACGTGCAATTTCAACGAGGTAGTGTTTTCTCCAAGACGGGAAAATGGATGCTTACGTTAATTATGTGTGTGCAAAAAAATACAGTGATATGTAGGCACAGGTTCCTATGAAACCGTCACTGGCTCTTATTCTGTGTGGCCGATAAAGCTGTGTCAATGTCAAGATAACTGCTATATTATATCTCTATTTTAGCTTATTGGCACGTTTGCCAATAACTGGCCTACCAGCCCTTCGTATCCAGGCCATAGTGCGCCACGTCGGTGGACATCGGATGATGTTGCCGTTACGCTCGTCACTGTGAATTACACAGAATAAGGCAGTTTTGCTAGAAGCATTTACGTTATTCTTATACATACATATATACATGTACGTATAAGAGAACGGATGGACAAGCGGCAGAATATACTTGAACGCTTAGAGCAGGACAACCTGTTTTTTCATCCATACCCTGCCCACGCCTTCGACGCTATACAGTATTAGATCTAAGCAAACTATCTAATTCAGTTCCGCGGCTCAACTTTGCTTATCGATGTTGGTTTCTTTAATTTATTTCAATGAGTAACGCTAGCAGTTCGCCTTAGGCACAGACACTGATTTAGATACATTTGCGTATACTATGGCATAAAAGCTGCCGTTCAAGGTAAGCGTGTTGAGTGTAACGTTTTTTTTGCAGTTAGTAAATAAGCTGTATTTGTCAAAATGAACATTAATCAAATAGGTCGACAAAGCAACCCAGACCCACCTTAAAAACCTATAGTGCCGGTGAGTCGATGAATAAAAGAAGTACGATTAAATATTTACGATAAAGTGGAGCGAGGAGGCATGCACAGTTCTGCTGCAGATGGTTTTCACAAAATGGTAATATTGCACGATTTAGATACTATTTGCTGTCTGACGGGAAATCATACTCGGAAATTTGGCAAAAATAGGCCATTATGAAATAACCGGTGTCCATTTGTCTGTCTGTCTGTCTGTCCGTCCGCATAGAAGAGATGCAGAGTTCGGACACCCTCAAAAAAGCTGCCAAAACAGCCAGTCTCCCTCTTCGAGGAAATTCGATTGTGCAGTAGCTAATAGTTTGCATCACTATCAGAGCATGGTGTATACTGAGGTCTTTTAGCAGCGCTACCATGAATGAAGTCGGCAGCATGCGGTCAACCCTCGTCGTAGCGCTTTTTTCTTCCAGTTCACAAACCGCGATTGATGATATACACTCTTTCCGCTATACGTGCACACAGAATGAGCGACAACTAAGTCTGTACCTGTTGATTACCTGGTCCTTACGAAGCTACGTGTGTGTATTCATTTTTTATTGGGGATAATCTTTCAACTACCTGACGTGATCACCTATATGTACAAAATTTGACAAATCTTATGTATATTGTCACGTACATGTTGTGAGCTACCTGAATCGGATATGTGGCAGATGCAAGAGACTAAGAAAAAATATACAGAAAATAATAAATGCATCATCAGACCGTATGATGACATTACATTGGCTTTTTTTGCCCACTCACGTGAAATGCGGATCTCGTAAAAGAACCTTTAAAGGTGCGACCTATCAAAGCAATAAAATTATGACCATTTTCATGTCTTAACCAAGCTCTCGTTGGTGTCTACTTTTTTAGGACAATAGTGTTAACAACACAAGATGAACCATTGGACATAATAATGTCGTGCTTTCATGGCTCAAAGCTTCCCGAATCTGAGTTCGAGTCCAGTTGATGTATTATAGAAGGTTTTTCAAACAAAGCTTCTGTCTCGTCGTTGCGGTAGTTCGAGTAACAGGAACGCTAGAGTCTATTGGTATTGAGAGGTGGTGAAACACTAGATGTCAAACGCTTTGTGGAAAATAAGTTGAAAGGTATGGTAGTTCTAGCCCCGCGACAGCGCAGTGGACAACATAAATGCTCAAAAAACTTCGGGATACGTGGTAATTTAGCTTAGAATCTGGTCGTAAGCGCACGTTGTTTCGTGCTGAGAACAGCCAGCCACTTGATGTAATGTCTAATGGCCCAATACGAAAAATGATGATAGTACTATTCAGACTACGAAAGTGATGCCACAAAAAGGACAGAGATTAATGTAGTATTGAATTAGTTTAGGTCCTTATGAACTGAAAATACCCGTGAATTGCATCTGTGGTGTGGATAACTGTATCTATAAATTGGAGCAAGTGAAACAGCCCAGGGCTCATACCGTGGCAGTAATAAACCCGACACGCTACAAATAACCAAATACGTCATCTTAACCTAAGTAAATAACATTGTGGCTTTGTACCTGCACTATTATATGACTTTAATCAGACTTGAAAGGGTAAACAATTTGTAATAGGCATAGGTAAGTAAATAATTTATTTTACCATTTTCGTCATCATCGTCATAGAAGATTCTTTTATCTGTGAGCGCACCTTGAAACACCTCTATGAACTATGAAACTTCTCTTGTGGGACCGTTCGCAACAGATTTCTGCTAAAATAGCAAATGTATAAAAGACAGACAAATTTTGATTCGTAACTGATATTGACTTATTGGCTGTGTGGCGGTTATTTTTCCATGGACAACTCCCTTGTGTTTCGGGTTTACTTTTACTGACAAAGGCTAAAGCAAATGCATATGTTTAATTTGCATAGTCAAAGCAGTAATACTTGACTGTAATGATAAATTCTATAAACAAACTGTTATGCGATTATGGCTCTTCGAAAAAAGACTTGGCGCAAAAATTCTATTTATTGCTAGTAAACGAAATTCGGCACATCGTTTTCAGGTTCTCGAATACGCATCGATTTAGGGAGCATTCACAGCCAAGGCCGGCTGATTCGATTTTTTGCCGGTTTTCTGTCCTATGGATTTTTTGGTGACAATGTTCAGAGTGCCGAGAAGTATCGATGGATGGGACCTCTTCGTTATAGTTGGACAGGCTGGCAGACTCTGCTTAAGAATCGCGCATACGGGGGCAAAGTAGACGTACAACTTCTTGAAAATGACGTTTCCGGAAACAAGCTTCCTTTCTGTCTCAAAGGGTATATTCACCTTTCTTAAAGCTGCTTGACTAATTACCCTGTCCAAATAGGGCTTTTCGACATATAGTGTAGTTTGTACATGCAGAATATAAAGACATCGCAGGTTTCCTAACGATTTTCTTATATGCTTTATGAGCTTGAATTAATATTATTCGCTTCAGTGTCGCGCTTTGATCGGGCCAATCGAATTTCAGATACAGGTTTTATGAATTGTAAATTTAAATCGATTTAAAATAACAATAATCTAAGAAATTTCAAAATCAATATGAGCAAGGTGCTTGCTGACAGCTACCTTAACAGCATTTCTGATTCATGCTTCCCAATAAATATTCACATCTACTTTTCTTGTGCGTTGTTTTACTATTTGGTACACTCATCTTAGCTGTGAGCGTTGTCGGCTAACCCCATTGTGCCCCCCGGCAGAGCGGCCTCAGCTCTCCGATACGTTTCGTGGGAAGCTGCAATCACTAAGCTGTTCACTATTAGCAAATCGTTGCTCGAAATCGCGAGCTGGTTTTGCCCCTAGAGCCCACCTGGGAGACGGTCTTATGAATATCTGTGTTGTGAAAGAATGTTCCAGAGTGGATTTTGTCCGCTTTCTTACAGCTATCGGCAATAGCCAACGACAAGATCCTGTGAGTATCCACCCGTACTCAAATTAAATCTACTTTTATTAGAAGCGCTATATTAAATATATTGGAAAATAGGAACTCCTATTTGACAGTAACGCTTGTTTACAAAGACATCTTGCTTATACGGCATAATCAATGATAGCCAATTATGAATTAGTTAGTACATAAAAGAATGACATTCTCATGGAAATTGTCGATATTATCTAATTGAATTTTATTTCAGTTCGACTTTTCATTTGTGCGCTCATATCGCGCACTGTCTTTCGAGTTCACACCTGACAACACCAAAAAAGATAAATCGTTGTGGCATTGCGATGGCGAGGTACTTCCTAATTGTACGCAAATCGCCGTGAAGTAAGTTTAGTGCCCTGCGTAACCTAATCTACTTCTGTTTAAAAAGGTCTCTCAGATTTTTCCTGATGTACAAGTCCGTCGAATCAAATGAAGTGAGGCTGAGGTCAGCCGCAAATCCGATCTAGCCGTGTTGCGATTCTTACTTCACACTCTAACTCAAATAAAAGTGCTAATACCTGTTTAAAAAAAAAAATGTAAAAAAACAAGGATAATAATACAGTGAAAAAAACAATATAAAAGAAGGATATAATAACTTGCGACTATATATATATATATATATATATTTCTGTTTTTTGCAACGCCATGAACCATTTCAGATGTCACAATCAAGCACTTACCTTGTTCGCATCTGGCGTATCGAACGGTGAGCTTGAACAAAGCATAGCGTCTGGTCCATCTTCATTATATTCGTCGAGCCCCGCTTCATCTAAACTGTGTCTGGCCAGCAATTCTCACAACGCTGAATGTTCGCTTGACCCAGGTTGCTGTTTTGGTAGCATATCCAACCCACAATGTCCGAACCCAAAGCCCTTATTACTGCCGCCTGCCAAGCTCACCTCCGACGCTTCTCCCCTTTGCGCCGCTACGGTTCTTTGTGGTGTCTAGGGGCGCAGCTCTCGATAAGAGTTTTCTATATGAAAAAAAATGCAGGGGAAAGTGCTAGAAGATGCGGCTATTTCAAAAGAGGCAATGCTATTTAGCTACAAAGATCTATTAACTACTTAAAAAAAAGAAGACAGAAAAAAATACCACATTCAACATACATACATACAAACAGCACTTTAGAGCGTTTGACGATTCTTCTTTCTCCGCGTGCAACAAACTCTAAGACTTCCGTCACCTTGAGGTGGCTATTGATATGTGGGTTCTCTGGGATATATGACCTCAATCACGAATATTGATAAAAACCAAAAGGAAAAAAATATAAAACAATCGAACACACTGTAGACTACTGTATTCATATTTGCAATTTTGCGAGGTTAGACTAATTAAATAGCTTTAGATAATTATCTAAATATCGTAGACATTTGCTCACATTCAGAAAACTGACCTAAATAAAAGGCAATTCGCAGAACGCGGGCTTCGCCGCGTGATATTGTTGCATATTAGTGGTAAGTATAGCATCGCTTCAACCCGTCGTTTTCTCATAGAGCGTTCATCATTTATCCGCACTATCTCTTAGATGTGCTGTTTAAAACCAAATGATCTGAATAATCGTGGCAGTAATAAAAAAAAAAAAAAAGATACTGAGAACGACGAAAATCTGTCTACATAGAGTCAGTACATACATCAATCACCCACTATGTAGAATGCAAGCAAAAATCATATGCTAAAAAATACCATGTGTCATAGTAATGTGAATATACGCTGCCACGCGCGCGAAGTAACTTTACGATTATATATATATATATATATTTTTTTTTATGTTGAAATATCCATTCATTACGCCATTTACCGCTGCTACCGTAGCTACTGCTTCCGTATCACTGTTTTTACCTTATTGCGACATAAAAGGATTCTGAGAATTAAAGGCGAAACGAGCTATTTATTTACATGACAATATATATATATATATAAGGCTTATTATTGTAATTGTTATTAATATGAGGCAGGCGAACTTCGTTTGCTAACAGCGAGCGAAATCGTCTCATATATTATAGTTGCTTTATGCAATCACATTGGCCGTGTCGTCAGCGAGGCTTGAGTCAGCAGTATAAGCCACCGCATCGACGCCTACACACGATATCTATGTAGCTATATATATGGAAAAAGTGTATTAGAAGGCTGGTTCCCTGTAGCACATTTAGCTGGGGTGGACTGCTTCAATTGAGATGTTTGTCTCTTTTTTAGTCTATATGTAACGTAAGGTAACGGTGCTATTCAGAATAACTACAAGTTGATGTAGGATTAACAATGTCCTATAAAGCAAGTTACAAATCGAGGCAGTTGGTCATGTGAACACTGTATAATTTTGGCGTAATTAAGATTATATACTAGTGTTGTCCCTTATATGGAAGTAATATTATTAATTGTGTTAAACGTAGAAAAATGTTTAGGATTATATCCTCTATGTGTTTTCTGATACCTGTGTTACAAAAAACTTGCTTCTGCATTATCACACACAGACAAGCAGACTGATTGGGGCATCCATTGCAACCAGAACGGGAACAAAAAAAAAATAGAAATACGTTTATGTACATTTCTCTTGAGAAGGAAAATAGCTATAGGTGTTGAGTCTGTCTAGGAGATATGCAGCCATGATTCTTTAATCGATGCATAATATAAATCGAGGAAATAATAATAAATGCCTCCTGCGGCAGGCCACTGAGAAGACTGCTCAAGTACATATGTCAGGTGAAATGACAAATGGCAAAAAAAATAGTATTCTATTATAGTGATTAATGAGAAAGTGCATGAGAAGCAAAATACAAAATAAAGCAAATAAGTATTTTAGCAATAACAATATTATGCGTGTTTTGAAACAGACCGATTTGCGCACATGTTACAGGAACAAAAATCTTTGAATTTATAAAAAAACGAAAAATTTTGAACTAATGTTATTTATGTGCCTATGTATTAACTCTTGTAAAATTAAATTACCAGAATAAGCTCTACATTTTTATTTGATATCAGTGTGAACCTTTGGAATCGACAGCTTGACGATAAGAAAATGTGATGCTATTTAGACACGACATTGACCGAACCCGTATTTTCACCATAAGTCAGTGATAACCTCGAGGAAATATTGATAGCATGAAATCTATCTACTTGAAGTATTTCTCCCTCTCACAGATGATCCCCAAAGCATACTTTATCATATGAATGAACTTAAATAGCTTTCCAGTTCATTAGCGCAACTTCCACCTGATCTTTTCTAATTGAGATTTATTAACTACGAATCTATTCAGCACGGAACCACAGTAATTCATTTAGGAAGTTAGAAAAATAAACAAAGCAACAAGAAGTAAGAAAAAAGTTGTTTTTTTTTTACGAAATGGATCAATACTATTAACGAACCCTTCTATTTGTTAATCAACATATATAGTTAATAAATATAAGTACAGATAGTTAGGGCACGGGTTTATCTATGAGTCGAGGACGCAGCGATTATAACTTTGTGCTATATTTCGTTACAAGATATTGAATATCCGATGTGCCTTTTAGGTAAAAATCAACCACCCGATTTAAGTGAGACATCCTTATACCAATTGGTCGGTTAGATAAGGAAGCTGAATAGGAGCTCTATCGGCGCTTTGCGAAGACCGACTGGCCTCGAAAAGCTCGTCCAGATAAGCCCGAAGATTTTCTTGCAGTGTTTTTACGTTTTCCATATTCTTCGCACTAATGTGAACCTGCAATAACAAACAAAACTCAATTAGCAATTTATGCTACGACTAATATGCTATTTAACAATGATATTTTTCAGCTAGCACATTAAATTTTGACAAAAATTTATTTCAAGCAACTAATAAGAAACAATCCAAAAGCACTACCTTTATTAAGACTGAACTTACAACCTCTTGGGGGTAAGTACTCTGAATATTCTAATGACGATATGCTTTCCACATGCAGCCCCAGCAATTAGAAGCAAATATCTACATACGCTAGTATTATATCAACATTGCATGTCAACATTGTTTTAAATTATATATAGAAAATATAAACGAACTATATACCCTAAAACAGGATCTAGCGCCGAAACTGGTAGTTCGTATATAGCACAAATATATATTCGGGAAAAAGGGTCGATTTTAGTCTTTCGTCTTATTATACTGTCAGTACCAATCGGTCGTAGATGTACATTATACAAATTTGTCTTTCTCATAAGCCTGTACCGTTTCCTTAAAATCAATCCTTCTCTTTGGCCGTACTTCATCTGGAAGGTTTTCAAAGGCCTCTTGACTGGCCATATTTTCGGTAAACTCTTCTGCTTTTATCATCGCTGCATCGGTATCCATCTTGTTAAGTACCAATAAAGCTGGCTTATATACTAGGTCTGCTCTATAAAGTTCCAGTTCCTAGAAACAATTTATAGTTATGTTAATAATCAGTGATGAAACTAATTATAATACATAGTTGTGAAGCAAAAATTTAAGTGAATTTAGTGCGAGCTATTTTATAATCGTGATCAAGCATTCCATATATAATTCCTGTAGATTTCGATAGGCATCACTGAAGATCGATGAAGGGAATATCGATACTCAAGTAGCGTACAGTTACTATCAGCCTAGTAACAAACCGACACAAAGGGTATATTGCGCTAATATGCGGATACGCTTTGCTAGTGGAGTCTAACCATTACAATATCAAGGAACCATGAATGGAAGGATATTCTAATTAACGAAGTACAACTAAAACGAGTCGTTAAACGTAAATCACATTGCTGGATTAGGGCTTTCCACCTTCTTTGACTGACTGGTTGACTACCGTTCAACGAATCGATCACTGAAATCATTATTATCTCATGTGGGCTATAGTCAATAAATTCTGTAAGCTGGTCGACTATCTAAATGACCCCCATAAACAATTGTACTTTTGTTTTTATTTGAAGTAAAAATACCTTATTAAGCGACATGACAGTTTCAAAAGCGTTGCGATAAGGTGATCTCTCGTTTAACTGAAAGCCGTGAACGTCGACCACAAACAGCAGCAAACTGGTACGTTCCACGTGACGCAAAAAGTTATACCCAAGGCCCGCATTTTGATGGGCGCCTTCGATAAGGCCTGGTAGGTCAGCTAAAGTAATTTGTCGGAAGTCTTCATATTCCATTGTGCCAATATTCGGACGAAGAGTCGTAACTGCAAAAGACATTAAAAACGTTTAATTTCAATACGACCTTATATTTAAATCTATTAGACTTTTAAAATACTATACTGCTGAACATACACTAAAATAGCAGATTAAACTTGAAAAATATGTAATAAACGTTCAATTTAAAGGAGAAGATAGCGCTTTGGCGATAGAATTAGTCGAAAGGATTTTGCAACAGTTAAACCATTTAGGGTCCAAAACCGATCGGTTTTTAAGTGACACTCGTTGTGAAGATGTGTTGAAAGTCGGTAGAATTATTGAACGCGTCTGCACTAAGTAAATGCACAATAGCATTCAAGTAGGAAAAGTTGAGTAGATTAATACTAATACGAGAGGCATCGAAGAGAGACCTCATTTATGCCTTATAATAAATCTGAGAGAGCTCTTTCTGGCTAAAATCGAGCTCGGATCCTGAAATGGACATCGGCTAAAGGTGATCTTCAAAGTTTTATTGTAACTTATATAGATAGAACGAAATGTATAGTGAACTCTGACAGAAATTGCATCATCTAACTTTTGTCCTAATCCAAAAAAAATAGACGTAACTAACTCTGCGTATACCATGAAAGCTTACAAGCAACAGGAGAATCGCCTAACATATTCCATATGTCTAGGAAGTGACGCATGGATCGCTCTGTATAGACCGGCTGTAAAAAGTATGACCACTTGACTACAACGCAAGAACGCATCAAGATATTTTAACTTTAGAAAATGTAATTGTAGTTGTTTCCGTGCGCTAAAGAGATTAAGAAGTGACACAACGATACACGCATCGATTTGCTTAAGAAGAAATAAATAACAAATCTGATATGGTAAGCATAAGCCATTAAGAGATCCCCAAGCAGTTAGTATCTATACACTTGCAACAGTCGAAAATAATACCTCTGAAATATACTAAAAACGAATCATTATTTAGATTTCAGTTTTTAATGCATTAAGAATGTAAAATTATATTTTTATGAGAAGTGGAATTCTTGCGTTGGAACTTTTTTTTCGGAATGATTTAACACTTACAAGGGTAGTTGGCCACTTTTGGCCTGGCGCGCGAGAGACCACGCAGAAGCGTAGACTTGCCAGCATTAGGAAATCCGACAAATCCTATATCGGCAATGAGCTTCAGGTAAAGACCGATGATTGCTTCTTGTCCTCTTCTGCCATTATATCCGTTGCGTAAAGAACCTCCAAGACCTCCTTTGGCAATCAGAAACTTCTCGCCCGGGTCAACCAGGTCGACTGACAAAAACAAGTTGTTTCAAGAAAAAAACAACCGAGTTTCCAAGTTATAAGGCGGTTAAAAGTTAAAGTTAGCTTGAAAAGTGCAGAAATGTTCAATGTACACATTTCACATGAGGTACCTATCGAGTAATGATAATATTTTATTGAACAAGCCTAAATACACTTGTCTCTAAACAGCCAGCTCGCTCACCGAGTTGTCTATTTGCACTGTCAACAACAGAGACCCCCGGTGGCACTTCAATAATGGCATCTTCACCCGCTTTCCCTAACAAAACATGGGGCCGGCTATTTTCGCCTACACCCGCTTTTACCCGGCGATCAGGATACTGCTGAAGCACTCTGTGAAGCGTAATATTTTCAATAGTTTTCACGTATACGCTTCCTCCGTTGCCGCCGACTCCTGGAAAAATAAACTTGATGGTTGATGGGCGCTTAGCATTTTTGCACATATGAGCATGAGGGGAACTTAATATACCTACCTCCGTATGCAAAATTACAAAGTATCATATATATTATATTTATAACCAAACAATACCTTGGAACGACCTGCTCCATTAAGTGACGATATGTACGCTGATAGTTAGGCCTAAAGGCGTGTAAATAGGCATACGCTATTAGGTTTTAAGAGGCTAGTTATAGAATTGGTTAGATCTGAAGCTAAGTGGTTAATCAACATGGAAAAGCCGATCTGTGGCTTCTTTAGTCCAATCCATTCGGAAATTTCTCGCTTGGAACCTAAAATTTCCAGCCCAGAATCATTAGAAACACTTAACAAGTGAATCGCCCTGCGGTGCAAAAATAGCCGAACCAAATAGAGATGAGAACACATAACATATCATTAATTCTAACCTAAACTAAATGTATCCACGTATGAATATATCCAAATTACCTTAAGCAGTCTTACTATGGTTATAATCAACGTAACTGGCGACGATAGCTCATATGCGAAATTTTGAATATAAATAGCAGAATGTGCAAGACCGCTAAAGAAACTTTTGTTTTCATTGCATAACTATGCGAACATAGATATATGATGAAATAGTATAATGTTATAGATCGTTAGCTTTAAGCTACAATGAAGCTCCCTGACCTCTGTGATATAGACACTTACCGTTAATTTTGGGATACCCTGATCCACCTGCACCAGCAAACACCTTCAATCGCACGCGTTCAATGAATGAGGTCTCTCTGAAGGCTTTGTTTACATACGCTTTTTTCTTCGAAGCAGCTTTTGGAACTTCTGACGGTAATACGACCGGTAAGCCCTGCTGAATGTTCTTAGAACAGAAATAAGACTACACGTTACATACCGTTTGTGTACGTACGTACTGAACAGCTTGGAAGCCTCAAGGAAGAGCCACCGAATTAGTAGGATTGCCAAAAAGATAGATTAAGATACGAAATCGAAACCTTTTCAAGAACGAGTAGGCCTATATTAAGCACGAGCAGTTGAAGCAACTATTTTTACATGACATACATGTCAGCTGCAGGCTTGATTTCAAAATTTTGCGATCATTTCCAGCTGATCAAACATAGAAGCATTTAGCAACGATGATGTTAGTTTATTTATAATCATATAACTATTATGTATGTATTGGGTCAGTTGTTAATTCAAAATATTTATAATATGTTTGCAAGCGAACATAATTAATCTTTGAAACAATAATTGGGCACGCCCTAGCTGGGTTGTGTCTTGTAAACACTGTAAAAAAAACAAACTGAAACTAATCGTTAAACTTCGCGTCATGTAGTGTCCAGTATTAAGACTACCTAATATTATTTATATACATTTAAGGTTCCAATGAATGATGAGAAAATATTCTCTAAAATCCAAACATACAATTCTGAAATTGTCTAAAACACAGCTCGTGTTATATACGTATATATGTGTTCAGCAAACGAAAAGTATCCAACCACATACTATACGTATATATATGCATACAGACCTTGGCGCGAAGAGTTAGTGTTCGCCACACCATTTTAATAATAGACTTTTAGCTGATTCTCACGGTGTCATCCTGCTTAAAGCAAACTACAGTTATAATTACGCCTGTTTTGCACATGTGCTTTTGATAAGTTAGGTATAGTCGGAGGAAAAACAAGCTTCTGCCTTCACATGCATCTGACGCGCGGATATAGAGAAGAAGTGTATTCGAAAGTCTACGTCGATCACCGGGAGGCCTTTACGGTTCGTAGGGAAGTAGTCGTAGTGTAGTTCTTTTTGAAGATCTATTGGACCTCTTTTACATGTTTCTAGACTTATTTACAATTTATTACGTTTCGATGCAGTAAAGAGAGTATTTTAAGCAGATCAACATTTTTTCAAGCTTCTTTCAATGGTTAGTAGCGATTTTGTATTGAATCTATTGTAAGACAGCATACGTATTTATCAAATATCTGAAGGTTAATCAGTGTCGTTAAACTCGTACAAAAATAATAACAGTAATCATGTAAGAGAGAGATGTAGATGATGTTTAATTTATACTCTAAACTATATTTGGGTTATAAAAACGTTATCGCAGCCGACAGGATTCGAACCTGTGCGGGGAGACCCCAATGGATTTCGAGTCCATCGCCTTAACCGCTCGGCCACGACTGCACCGCTAATATAGTGGGCTTGGCCCATTAACGCACCGACTGACACGGTTCCGCCCTTTCTTGTGAACCTTTTGTAGGCTTCCGGCTTTCATTGAAGATAGAAGAATAGACATATGTATTCCTGCAAGAACGTCTTAAACTTAAGTTTGCTTGATATTTTTCACTACAGCTTTTCTATAAGATCAGCTTGGATATGTTAAACAACCGTTATTCGTTGCGATAAAAATAAAAAAAAATAGTAAAAATTGTCTTGGCCGGGTATATAGTAATTTCACCAATAGGTAAGCGTAAACGTAAACGCTTGAGTGGTCACCACACTACCGGGTTTTTTCTTCGTTGCTGCCAAGTAACTGAATGCAGATAACAAAAAAGAGACTTGAGCTACGCAGTTCTATCCGCTGAAACAATTACGTCCATAAGTAGCAACGGATCATTGAAACATTTTTAGGAGTAGTATTTTTTTATATATAATAAAAATATAAAACTTTTAACTAACCTGTAACAAAACTAAAATAAGTTTTGTATTTCTTTGATGCGATCACTGTTTAAATTTAAGCATTTAGAAATGGACCGTGATATAAATGAGGTTTCTTCAAGTATTTAACATGTAGCTACTTAATGCGCGACAGCTTACTGTGTTAATTTTACCAATTCAGATTTTTAAAACTATTAGGCTCGTTTTAGAGATCGTCATCGTGATCATAAACCATCGCAAATCCTGTTTATATTTGAGTTGACTTCCCAGGACAACTTTGCAACAGGAACGTATCAGTTATCAAGTGAAGCAGACGTCAAGGCCTTTTCGCATAATTTAGTTTTTCACGAGAGGACGTGTTTAATAATCTAATAGTCCATGTGTTTTCAGGACAGTAATGGCGTCACAGACTATATTTTCCATTTAACTTTTACAGTGGAAAACAGTAAGCGCTATTAAATGGACAAAATCCCCAAACGCCAACCTCGGTTACAGCCAAGTGCTCAAAGTCTTCCCTAGGGGGTTGTCAACAAACTATGATTAAGCTCCTTGGTTGAAATATCGCCTTTCTTGCACCGCGACCATCTCGCTTAAAAGAAGACAAATATCTTCAACGGCTCGTATTCAAGATGACCTCTTACTGAACTAACCAGAAAGTAGCTGCACATCTCAGCAAACTTTCAAAATTGAATAGTATAATCAAAGCAGTCTCTTCAATAGTAGCCTTTCAGTAAAACACGAAAAAAAAGACCGTCGTAAAAAGTCAACGCTAGAAAAAGTTAGATTAACGCATGGACGGTTGTTCATCACCAGCCCTTGACAACTATGGTTTAGTGAAATTACTTACTTCGTACTTAGTAGATATATCGTTTTTAATCATCAAAACTTAAGAAAAAAAATATAACATCATTAGAAAAAAAAATGTGTGCGAATACGAGTGAGATACGGTTTTTATAGTGTATATATATTCTAATATTTATTTATTTTAACATAATCACAACGTTATAATAGTAGTCGTAGCACCTCTCTTACATATGAATGCAAATATACAAAATTTGGCATTTAATTATGAATTAATTGTTCAGGTTTGGTAGCTTCAGAACCGTCATTCTGTTTTTACGAGATTTATTTTCTGTGGATTCGTGTACGAACAGTGTTTTCGCCAGAGTTCTCTCGCTGAAGATCGACGCTCGTAGACAATTCAGCGCCTTTCGATGACTCCACAGTTCCGAATGTCCGCCCCGTGTGTTATTTATTGTTATAATTATTTGTGTTAAGCGGCCACTCATTATTTGTTATTGACAAAAAGAAAGTTGACGACGTTGGCTGTGAGTTTTGTTAGATTCTCAGTTATCTCTGTTGTATCGTGATGATTTCGAATTGTTCGGTTTGTTCGAAGAGCCACCGAACCGACGCCCAGTTTCTTTTGCGGGCGTCTCCGTTGTACGGGAATTCTTCTTATTGTTATTTAAAGACGACGACGACGACGATGGTGATGATCCTATAATTTATTCGCAATTCAAACAAGCGCTATGAACTACATACATAATTCTATGGCAATTTTTACTACTTGGATTTCAATGCATAATACCTTGAATCTGACTAGACGCTTCTCTGGAGTCGCCATGGAAATCTGCCACTTGGCCAAAATAGATTGTGGTCAATAGTAAACGCATATTAAAAAGCTGTGTAAGGCGTACGGAGGACTCGATGTTACCAAGTATAATAGCGTTAGTTAATTTAGCTCATAGATCATTCTGTCTCATAGTTTAGCGGCGAAGCTAGGCTGAACACGTGGTATAATTGTGATAATATACTGTGGACACTCTGAGGAAACTATTCATTATCAACAAGAGATGGCCTTTAGCCGTAATATATATGTATATTGTAAAACCGTTCCTGATTGGTAAAGGTCTTAATAATAAGCGGACTAGTACGTTACCTCCTCGTTTGGGTTTCTTAGTCGTAGTGGTTGTAGTTCGGGCATTTGCTGTCGGACGAGCCTTCGTTGTTCGTGGGCCAATCGTCGATGGCGGGCCGGCACCAGTCGTTGGCTTAACGAAAGGTGGCAAAGTGGGCTTAGGTCTTTGTAAAGGTGCAGGCGTTATCTGAAAAGGAAATGAGCACGGTAATATTTAGCGTGATTGAAAGCAATCACACTGCAGACAATGGTGGGAATATATAGCAAATAACAGTTGTAACAAGAGGAAAAGTGTTAAAGGCATCCCAGGAGACCGAGGAGGATCCTCTAATCTTTACATAACATCCGATTTGTTAACGTATGCAATCGTCTATTATACTGAATAAATACCGATAGCATACAAGAGATTTGTATCGATTGCTTGCAAAGGACGTATAATGACAATCCCATCTGGCGATACAAAAAAAAAAGGCTTAACATATCGTTGCCGAACACTACAAGACGACTGTGATTTCTGGCTGGCCATTTATCTTCGTCGTGTTTATTTTTTTCGTCCATTATTATAATCAACAAAAAGCTTCAACAAAGAATCATATACTAACTACATGATTTTATCAAACGAAAGCCCTTCCCAATATATATTGCTCTTCTACTATGTATTAGTTAGCTACGATAGCTGCAGTTGTATTTGTAAATGTGTATGAACGAATAGTTTAAGTTTTAGATCTGTGTGTCAATGCGGGTAAACGTGAGTCAATTTGTTCTCTATGTATCTCTGCCTATCCGCGCTCGCAGCCTTCACCTGCTAATTATAATTATAGTGGTAGTTCCCAGTAACTACAGACGTTTATTAACGTCGTCAACGACGTTTTGGGCCGTAGTATAGCTCTGGGAACAGATTGTGACGTAAATCTCGGGGGAAGAGAGAGACTCTACCGTCCCGTTTCAATTAAAGCGAACAGTAGCCAAGTAGCAAGGTATAATAGAAAGAATCGTAGAGAGGGGTAGCAGTTGTAGTAAGAAAAGACAGTGACATAATGGCATCAGTATTACGGCTTATAGTAGAGCCTGCTAAGAATGATCTTGTCATGTACGGCTAAATTAAAGTCATTGAACGATAATCGTTCTTTATGGTGACTAGGAAGGTAAACAATGTTTTTTTTTGCGCTTATTAACTGATTATTCAGGAGAGTAACGTTATGAACAATGTGCAGCAATGCAGGATATCGGCGGGGCTTGCGAGGTGGTTTTCGTGTGACGAAAACGAAGGATTGCACACAACAATTGGTGGCAATTGTGTATGCCGATTCTTCAGACGGCCCGCAGTCGACGCCCACGGGAGGCGTTCCGCTTTTGTTGACTAGGCAGTGTGTATTTTCAGAGCGCGCTCGAACTGCATGAACCAAGGTAGGGCCTCAATGATCATAATGCTATTACATTTACTTGCGGACGTATAGAGGCACATCAGCCGCATGGTACTGCAATCCAATGATCGGAAATGTCATTTCAGCCGCCCACACCTCTGGGTAAACCGGTGCATCCACCCTGGCAGCAATGAACGCGCGCTTTTTGAAACTCGCTATTCTGTCATTCATAAACACACAATAACCTATTTTACTTCAGTTGAAAGATCACCGTTACCTGTGGCAATAAATTGAACCGCGTCACGAAAAAAACACTTAGTAGATTCGCTCTATAAGTGAACTATGTTTATAGGTAAACGAGCTCAAGTAACGCAATCTGATTAGAACAGATGCCAACATGTCGAATGTGAACGGTGTGTCTCGAAAATTTCATTGAATTTGGTCGATCTCAGTTCTAGCTACCAAGAGGCTGCTCCTGTTACTATAGTGGAAATCCTAGATAAAAAAAAAAAAAGCGGTATTCTAGACGAAAAAACGTGGACAAGTGTAATTCATTATAATTGTTGCTTGCTCGTTTTTGCTTAACGCTGCACAATTTTGGGAATGAACCGTGTAGGTGAGTCCTTCTACGAAAAGGCCACATTACCGTTCAACATAATCAGTTAATTCAAGAAGTCTAGACAACGCACAAGTGAATATATCTGTGATCATATGGGTAAAATAAAAACTGCGCCAGCTGTACTGATGCCTGTCTCTTCAGGGTCAACTTCAACTATTGTCATTCATCAAAGCATCAACCTGAAGAAAAAAGTTTCCGTTTAGGAACAGTCTCTGCCAGAAGTGTTGCAGTGATTCGTCGAATCACCCTATTTTCATTCGTTATAACGGGCTGAGGTTACAAACGGTAACTATTTGCTCATTAACATAGGCATTGTAAAGCGATGGCTAGGTTTATATATGGTATTTGCCGACAAATTCGGCGCAAGAATGGGTGCTCGTTTTTTCAGATGGATAATGTTATATTATGGATGGACTACACCTACTATTACAGTGTGAACAAGAGGTACGGACAACAGTTATTATAATAGTGATAATAACAAGTAGAACAATTATATTACACAAACGCTATTCGAAATGACCTTGATAGATTGGCGTAAAATAGTCGCACGTACAAGGCGTCGTTATTATAAGCCGCACCAAAAATGATGGGTTTCTCGTCGTACGTACGTACGTACGTACGTACGTACCTTGTTGCGAGTGTTGCGTGGCTTCAGAAAGATCGATGTGGGGTTGTCGGGCTTCTTTTTGGGGGCATCTTCGTTATCGTCCTCATCCGCAACGGCAACGGTGGCGGCTCCTTTAGCCGCCTGTTTCGTCTTCGTATCCTTAGCGACGGTGTCCTTCTTGGCAGACGAGTCCTTGACAGGGGTGTCTTTTACAGGGGTCTCGTTATCATAGTCGTAGTCGTCGTCGTAGTCGGATTCGACTTTCTGCGCCGCCGCTAATCCAACCACCAGGGCGCCTACGAGAATCACTGCGATGATCCGCTGAAAATATTGAAATTGTCATTGTCGTCATCAGTATCGAAACAGCTTTCTCGAAATTAGATTCTCTACCAGAGAAATGATCTGATAGACACAATTGTTGTAAGACGTTAACGGTGCACGGCTTATCCCGCTGCCGCTGTGTATATATATATGGGATGTTGCTGCTGCTGTTGTACTAATGTATGACATCTAGCTGACCTTGGACAACTTCAACTCGCCATAACAGTGACACAATTCGAGGTATCGAACGAAGATGGCACTACTTAGAACCACTTTGAATCCCAAATTTGTTTACACACACTGCTACAGTTGATCTTGCCGCTGTTCGTCTGAACGGTTCTTTGACGGGTGGTTGATCAAAGTAAAATTCATGCGGAACAATCAAGCCAGGGAGAGGGAGTAGTTAACTTAACGAAACGCTATTATAGCTACGTCAGTATCGTATAAGAACTCTTTGAGAGGTAAATCACTGGTAAAATGCTGCTTGACTGGGTTCACTCGTAGACGACGATATGGCAAGCCTCAAAGCGGCCACTCACCATAGCGGTGCGACTGATGCGGCAGCCGGAACGGAATGGCGCGCATCGTCGATGAGGAACGCGGCCGCCTCGGGTGAAGGGGGCTAGCGCGACCAACAAGTCGAGAGGGAGTTCTGCCACCAACAACGCCAGTCTGCGTTTGCTGCTGCTGCTGCCGCCGCTGCCGCCGGTGACGACGTATCGGCTTGCAACGACCAGCGCCCAACCGGCTGCCGCTAGCCCCCAGGATGCTGCTGCTGCTGCAGGTAATCGCTATTCGGCTAGAGACGTTTATGGTGAGCGCATCCGGCCTCCTGCTAAAGATTAGCTCGATGTCCTGTTTTAGGAAGTAGCGACATTATATTGCTTTACCGAGGCATCGCCGCAGCAAAAACGGTTTGCATTTGATCACTAGAAAAAGAGCGAAGAAAACGAAGCTTCTTCCTACATCTTACGATCCGCCCCGGCTTTTTTCTTCTCTGTCGGTGGAGGAATCCCTGTTGTCACCTGTAGCAACCACAGAGACACTATTTGTTCGGCTCGGCTGTACATCGAAAAGTTTGATATCGTTTCATGTCTGCTAGAAAATCTTCAGATCAAAGTTGCCGTCGAGGGCCAAATTTTCAACCTGACCGGTTCTTCTGCAAAACTGATAGCTATAATAGTTGTTATACGGAAAACTGCATCCGGCAGAGATATCCGAGATATCTATCTGTACGTATATCAAGCGGACATGAGGTTTGTTTGTGTCTGCTAATATAACGGGCGGTAATATAGCGACTCATGATAAATAGGCCCTAACCTAAAATCAACTGTTTGTTATTGGTGGTCATTTATCGACAGAAACCCAGTTACGAGTGAACTGCTTAAAACGAGCTGAGCTTTCAAAGGCCATTACCAGAATTCTAGCCTTGAGTGCTGCGGACAAGACCGTGTACGTCAAAGAACAGCGTTTGTATATAGCGCCAATATTGTGGAATATAATATCAACGATGATCGTCCATGACTATCTAATTAATAAGCGCAAAAAAGCACAGCTTTGGAAAGCCTTCTACCAAAAATATAGGTGAACTTTGAATGCTAATGATTTGGCACCCTGACAAACAACTATGCAGGAAACAGCACATCTTACGAGGCTTGAAGACTAACTATTTTTTTTATATACATCTTCAGAAACGCGAATTTGATCATATTCAAAGTTATTTTAACTACCATTTAATCGCTTTGTATACATCAGTCGAGCGGTCACGAAGCAAATCTTTTCGTGTTCTAGTGAAACATTCGAATATGGCGGTATAGAGGTTTTCAAAATAGGATGACTAGTATACTGTAGGGAAATGGACTATTTCGTATAACAGCATGTGCCTAGAACTATTGCTATTGTGACAATGGTCCATGTTCCATTCGGCATGGTAGCAGTGAATAGAAACTTGATGGGTCGTGACGGCAACGCGTCCATCATAGAATGTGATTAGCCGAAAACAGCGAAAATTATAACGGAACGAAGTAGGACGGAACGAAGGGATACAACCTGCGAAGCCTCGCAAGCATTCGCAAGTCGTACCTATTCGTGTGTTTTGTTTTTTTGTATGCGTGTGTCTTCTTTGTTAACACAATTCTCCTGTAGATAAAATTCAGGCTATCAGAGTTACCGACTTTAATTATTTAGTGATTAACTTAGTGGACCATTACCTCGGTCTCATCATTATGTGCCAAATAATTACCATACACGTATTTTGATCGCGTACGCGCGAAGCCATTGCTACGGACATGGCCAGCAGGCTCTGTAAAGGAGGTGGCTGCGGTTCATGTAGACCGATTTAATGCTAGTAACTATACGTACAAAAGTCGTTCGCTTATCACGCCCCAGTTCAAGGTAATTTATACCATCTTTTGTTGGCATTGTTACCCGCGGCTGGGTAAAGCCCAAGTTCTTCTGCTTTTTTTTGTCGCGCAAAACATTGATGGACCAGTGAATTGTATAACAGTAGCGTGGCGTTGGCGGCCATTTCTTAGCAAACGTGCAAATTGTCGCGTCCATTCAACGGATCCAGGCGATGATTGCTATTGGATCTGATCTTTGTAGTATCTGGTCGTCTTATTCGTCACCTATCTAGCTTGACATAATCTGTTCTTCTGTGAACCTTTCTTTTAACTAGCAGAAACGGCATTGGTAGTCCATAGTTTGGCCCTTTTTAATGACTGCATGTACCTTGAAAATCAGTTATTAATAGGACGATGTCATTCGTTCAACATAGCTAGCTTACGGCGAAACGATCGTTTTTTTTGTTTAGAAGACGAGATGAAAGAAGAGAGAAGTGAACGGGACGTAGACAAGCCTGTTGATTTAGCATTGGTTGACCTATATGGCCTGAATCGAGTTAATTTTTTTTGAATAAGCTTTTTATGCCCATTGAGTGGTATTGGCGTGCTAGACATAGGTATGATGCATAGGAGAAATTTGTTAAGCTCACTCACAATGAACGGTGTTGATTCAAATCTATTCCCAACAGCAGAGATTAAATGTCGGTCCATAGACGTCATGTTTTTTTTTTGTCTTCCTATGGAGCTTTCGGTTTGTATGCTCATATTAATGTTCACTCAAACCGAGGTACTGAAAATAAGTTCACAGCGTAACCAACGAATTGACGTAAAAGAATTGCCTTAAATAGTAGCCTGACGTATTTTTGAAGGGATAAACGCTTACTGATTTCTAATAAAGATTTCAATAACGTAAAACAAATTCGATTCTTCACTTGAATTTCCTTTATAAATTAAAAGTCTGAGAAAAGTTAACAAATTTAGCCATATGTTCTCACAGATTGCTTGTAATGATTAACGATTTGGCGAAATACCGTCCCCTGATCATCAAGGCCTTCTTTTAGAGGCTAGGTGCATCGACTTCCTTGAGGTTTACCTTTCTGCCGACCTTAATGCTAACTTTGAAAAAAATCATGCCGTTTACGACAGTCTTGAAAATCTGAGGAAATTTCTACCACCTACATACATACAATCATACAGTAATCAAAATGTCACTCGGTCTTTAGAGTTTTGTATAGGTTTTATTGATGTCGTGTGTATTCACAAAGATGGTCGTTCGAATTGGAGGAAACAGCGTTTGTCTTTGTTTTTAAAAAAAAACCCTGTCACTTTCAGGCATCGACCTCAGGACGTACCCATGGAATAATGCATAAAGAAGCTCAAATGGGTTATTGAATTAACACAAAAGAAAACTATCGTATCCCAGTCCTCCTGTTTCGAGACTGCTGCCTTATGAAATAAATAGAGAAAACTTCCATATATATAGAGCATCGTTATTGGGCCAGCCTACCATGACAGTTAAACGTACCACTAAGTGCTCGAAGTTCTTACTCATTATTGTTAGTCGTGGGTTCAGGGCGAGTAAGTTACATCAGTAAACATGGAGATGTGTACACAACTTGGGAACGATGCAGGTCTTCTATGCATGTCATTCTTTGAAATGGTACACTTCGGTAAATCCTGAACTATCTTCTACAGCTTCGGCTCTCTGAAAAATTTCCTGAATCCAAATATCGTACTGAACAAATCAACTAATAAGCATCAGCTTCTCGGATTCGAATGTACCTGCAGGCTATACAGTCTATATCTCCATATGATTTCTTATGAATTTCTCGTCATCACGCCATCATTACAATTCGGGTTTGATTTTGTCTGTGTACGTTTTTCGCTCTGAAAACGATGACTAATTCATCGTTGTACGATGCGCACTTTCGTAGGTACTACAATAATCTGCCGAGAGGCTTATGTATCGTATACTTATCATGGACTTCCTGCAGACTTTGTAATTTTCGACCAAGCATACTTTGACGTATCATTGGTTGGCATGCGGTAGTGTTTTCAGTTCGGTTCGATAGCTATGTCGAACCAGATTCGTCTGTGCTCTAAAGCTCAATAGACTACTGCTTCCATCGCTAATGTCTGTATACGCGTAGCATCGGTTATGCCCACTTTCCGAGCACGAAGACTATATCCCAACGTGCTGATAGTGGCGGGTGATTTGTGATGACGCGGCAGGCGCCAGTCTGACGAAATTCTTTAGTCGTTCGACGATGTCGGCCACAACGACCTGTCTAACGGAATACGGCGGCGCCAGCGGCTGAAACCAGGTAGCCATTTAGTTAGCCTTTTCTTTTTTCTTTTTTTTTTTTTTTTTTTTTTTTAATCATTTCCGTTCGCGACTCGAATTTGCTATTAGGCGCGCAGCAACAAACCCCCTGAGTGGTCCCGGGTGGGATTAAATTTAGTATCGGAGTTCTAAAATCAAGACTGCTTAATTTTCCCAACTCGGGCGATTATACTGCTCACTTGTATGTCGGCTTTAACTAAGACGCTTAGAGAAAAAATCGCTGAGCAAAGCAGCTAGACGTTACTGCGCGCGCTAACTCTGTGGCGTTGCCGAAGCCTAAAGTGCTTACAATTTTTCTGTTTTTGTTTTTACAATTTGTCCCGTTTTAGCGCTTTCCTGCTAGTTGACTCGACGTATGACGAAAGCGCACGGTCGAAAGTAGAGACATCATCAACATACGTTGAACTTGTGGGTGCGGTAGAAAATCTCGAGTTGTCCGTAGTCTTATTCAATAGTGTGCTAACGTTTCTTAACAATCAACTTCTGAAGGAGTATCCTTTTTCTATGTAGTACACTGCCAAGTTCTGCAGGATTAACGCGTACGAGGAAAGTTGTTATTTCTTTGATGCCAATGCATATTTGTTAAGAGTTGTCCTTATATTGGTTTTGCGGCAGCGCGCCTGACATTAAGGGCTACTGTTGAGGCTACCGTCGACCTTTGCTTTTCTTCAAAAATACCAAAAATAACTGTAACTACAAATCAAGTTACAAGCGTGTATATGTGGCTGAAGAAACGATATAGGAAGCAACAGACGAACGAGCTGAAAAATTCGACAGCGTCCGACGGACGATAGCTTGACGCTATTGCCGCTAAGCAATATTGCCTTAGCGACGCTGATTGCCTGCAGAGCGGTCATCACAGCAACAAACTTGACACTTGCGAACCCAGGGGGCCATTCCTGACTTCTCGACGCCGTAAATCCAGGAATGGCGACGACGACGACCGCTGCAGGATATGGCAGCGGGAAAACGACAAATGTCAATGCGATGCTCGATGTTAATGACTAATGACTTATGTTAGCGGCCAGCGCACCGACGCTCCCCTCACTCCCAAAGCCATTTCTCACATAAAACATAGCAGTTTTGAGGTGTCACGGTACAATATTTGGTTAGCCCAAAACGATATGATAATCGCTAACGATTTGACAGGTTACTGTAGTCTCCGTGAGAAGTAAACATTGTATAGACATCGTTATGATGTAGTTCAAAGTTGAAGTTAGATGATTTGTCGTTTCTAGCTGCTAGTGAAGAACGAGTTTTAACAATACGAGTCTTCTTAGCGTCTATTTATGAAATAACTACCATTGTCATTTCGTTCAACTAAATTATATAGTGCAGGTATCGTAGAAATGCTACAATAAAATTTCATTGGATCTTGAGTAACTGACGAGTGCGGAAAGATATCATCTTTGCGAGACGCCATAGAAGCGCGTCATGTAATTGCTAACAGAGAATAAGGACGTTTAAGGAGCTGTTTTGCAAGACGAGCCATTCTAAAATAGCTTAAACTCCCGCTGCCCTCTTCGGAGGCTTCGGTGTTTTGATGCAATGGTCAAACGAGGGAGGCTGTTTGAAATCGGTCAAATCGTAAAAATCCTTTTTAAGGCCGGAGAATGTCGGGATGTCGATGTCTAGAACGCCGCATTATTTCTTAATGAATAATCGCTACAAAATAGCCCAGTGGATAAACGCTCCAATGATCCTGATTGTGATGCGTGCATCGATGATGATGATGATGATCATATCTATACAGCGTCTGTGTATATCAGGGGCGGCAGAAACTTGGGAAAATACTGACTGAACCGACCGATGGGGTGAGGCAGAGAGGGCAGTTAACGTAGCTCGAGGGAGAATCGATCGGTGCGGGAGGAAGGGGGTACAACAACCGTTGCATCACAGCTGGCCACCAGACTGACCGTTACCAGAACGTCGCTTGTTTCTTGTTTGAATGCTGCTGCTACTGCTGCTGGTGCTGCTGCTACTGCTGCTGCTGGTGCTGCTGCTGCTGCTGCTGCTGCTGCTGCTGGTGGTGATGAAAGCAGTTGCTCTTGGCTAGCGATGTCGCCAGTCAATACAGCTGGGGTCGCCCTAACAGTTGTTGTTCCGTCAGCGGGCGGCTATCGTGTAATCAGTTAAAGCCAAATGCTGGAAACGAATGCCGCTATTTTAGCGAATTCCTACTCTCCGTAATAACATTGCTAGTACCACGTGTGACGAAGTCGCTTGTGGTATACGATTGTGTGATGGTGGCAGTCATAAGCAGCTTTAGCAATAACGGCAAAGGGCGTGCCAAGGAGCAAAAATTTATCAAACATTTAATTGACGAAGCGATATCTGAATTTTAGTATCGATAGGTCGGCAACAACAGCACTGCCGTTATCGCTAGTGCCTTTCGCAGCATCGGTAACGTTTACCAATAGAGTTACCACTTTTGTTATTACATATTTGTACGTATATAGATTTATAAACAAGTATATCATCGCCAAGTTATGTGCACACATAGAACCTAAAAGAATAATATACGAATACAAACGATGTCGCGCTGATACATCCAATAATAGTTCATACTTTTTGCTGTCTCAATTTTTTTTTATTTTACGGTGCCGTATCCTGCGAGTAGCAAGTAGTAATTCGGAACAAATGGGGATCCTATTTGACACAGTTAACTAGTACATGCTGTCATATTGTTATTACTGATATTTTACAGGGAAAGGTAATTTCGGAAAAATCATCGATAACGGTAGCAGGAAGAAAAAATCGTATTCTATTGTTATCTTATTTGATGCTATCGAAGTTTTTAGCTGTAGACATTACTGTATAATGTACTGCACAAGTTGGAGGCATCCTGGTAAACAAGTTTTTCTGATAAAGAAAACATGTGTGTCTAGAAATGAAAGCCGAGCTGAGAATTTCTGATAAATAGTTAATCGCATCTATAGAAAGAGGAGTGTTTCAGAGTAGTGTTTACTAATCTTATTCAAATCTTTCGTTAACTGTAAACGCGTGTTTCTACTGGTAGTGATTGGTAAAAAATTAATTTTTTATTATACCTGGTTGTGGCCGCAGAAAACGAACGCTTCATCATCTTCTGTCTTTTGACGATCTTCATTATAATTTTAGATCCTCTGGTGATTGGGTATGGGAGAGCATCGGCCTGTTTCAATCTTCGCTTGAACAGACGCGCTTGTTTAGTGATCAGCCGTCTGATACAATACTAACACAGTTTCGGACGTTCAACAAAAACTGGTTGAAGTGGTTTCGTTCTCAGAGCAGCTGAACATTTTTCATCTAGATTCGAGACAAATTCAGGAAATCTGTGTGATTGTTATTACTCCGTTTATCTGTAATGTGTGTTAATGATAGTCGAGTGGGGGACTACGTTAGCGTTAAAAAAATGCAGGGTTGTCAAGTGATAACTTATATTTCTGTGATGAGATCATTTTTACGGTTGGACAGTGACTTCTGCGATGTTGATGCTCGCGTTGCATCACGACGTCAGCGACGTTGCTACCTCCCACTGCACGGTACTGCAGTTCTCTTTCAACTACGTAATTTGCGTTTATTCCTACTATCACTACGAACATTGAATACATAGACGTACTCTTGTATATAATTTCTGCCTTACACAGCGAACCTGGTGCGTCTTGTCGATCACCAATTCAGACAATGAAAGGAGTGGCTGCAAAATACTGCCGAACGCAGGACAAAAAGGGAATAGAGTACATATTAGTTGACAGCGTTTTGCTGTGCTAAATACGACAAGCAAGACGAAATACTTTTCCGATTACCGGCTAGACAATGACTATTTTATTTAGCGATAAATATGCGACAGATAAATGTATGAGAAAGATGTCGTCTGTTAAAAATGCAATCACGTAAACATCATGTGAGGTAAGTTCCTCCTACATTTTCCGATTTGATCAGTCACGCCTAACGATATGGAATACGCTAGCAATAGTTGCAAGAGATATTGTTTACGGAAACTTAAAATTCAGATCTCGTACAGACGCTTGCTACTCATAACAAAAAAAAGAAAAAAAAAAGCTAGATAACGCCAATAATAGGCCTTTGGGTATTGTGCAAGTGAACTTTTACAGTACTTTATATATATATTGTCATAAAGGTTCACGAATTAGATTTTAGATCGAATACTAAGATATGCCATTGTAGTAATAATAGCACTAATTAAGAACAATAAATATTATGAGATGGGGCTCCCCACAAGATTACTATTGAGATATTTGTGCATGGCGAATTGTTAGATTTAACAGGTTGCCATGTATATTGCATGGGAACTGAGATATAAACATACCCACTATCATAACTATCAACACGTTTCGACACACGGGGCCATAAGTATGTATATGGTGTCTGGAAATTGACTCTGCATATACAGTTAAACTGCGCTTGTACCTTACATTAGCAGGGTAAACTATACGATTTCAGTGTGTATTATCTACCTACTAGCTGGACGCTCTCAGCGACCTTCGATAAACAAGAAATTCCACCAAATTTTCAAATACAAAGACATTTCACATACACAATCTGCTTCATTTCCATATTTACTAACATTCACACTATCTTAACGTGGCGGTCGGCAAAGAGAGTTCCTCACCACGAACTTATTGGAATTGTTCATCGTAGATGTATTTGTGTAACTTACTTCGATTAAAAAACTAATTTTGACATTTCGTAAAGAGAAACTACTATTACGATGACGTTGTAGTATTGTTTCGGTCTTGAGTCTGTCCGAAAAAAGGACACTTATCAAAATCGAATAGGCTTGCGCCGGAAGTTCAGCAGGTGCTGTTTAATATTTTCGTTCACTCCGATCAGTAAGTTACCGGAATCAAACAGCGCATCCTCTATAATGGCAACCAATGGAACTATGACATAGCGGCGCAACTATCTGCCGTCTACAGAACTTGGTACAAGTTGTTCCAGTTGTATTGAACCATGCGCTAGAGTCACGAGTGTACAGATACGATGAATATGTCAAAAATCAACGTCTTCTGTCTTGCACCGCTTGTTACTATGTTATGTTATGTATGCTACTATGCATGACGCATGCACCCTGCGTGCGTAACTGTCTGCAGAAACCATATTCAATGCTCCAATACCAGCTATGTATGTTCGTTTGCAATTATGGCAGTAGTCGGGCGCTATCCTACGAATCAATATAGTGATAGACAGACATTGACAAGGGGATGACCTATATGTTATTATAGCTCGACACAACAATTTTACTTAATAGATAAATTTTGACTGAGTCAAAACAAGCGAAAATATCTTTCTAGTCCAACTTCATATCCTCTAAATTGACCACGATAGATTTATAGGATCGAAGTTACACAGATCGAGTTGGGTTTACCAAACTCCACCTAGACATCCTCGGAAAAAATCGATTTTTGGTAAGGATCTGACGATTGAAGGTATTCTGATTGTGTCTGTTCGACAGGAACATGCTCGCGATGATCGGGTTGCGATGGTTGATATGTTTGGGTTACCGAAGCATATCCTGTTGGCTTCTGTTGTGGGCTGCTTTCCTTCATCTTTGGGGAAGTATTAGACATGGCACGATCAGCCAGGACCATCGACAGGACTAACAGACCTATCTGTGATACAATATCAAGAAAAATTTCTGTTCAGTATAGAGATACAAACATACATTATCTAAAAACGAACACGTTGTGGCATTAAGCGAAATCGGCTCTTCTGGAATAGGGACAAAAGTTTTATGAGAACTACCATACATTCGTGATGATCATGTTGGCTTGACAAAAATACGCTAGGCATGTCATAATTCATTACGCGACATGTCGTTAGTAAAGGTATCCCGAAGGTCGGTAAATAAAAACGTTGCCTATGGCTGGAAATATCAAGCACGATTCTTGGCAATAATTTGATTAAGTATTTAAACCAGTACCAGATGAGAGACTTTATAACAACTTATAGTCGATATGATTCGAAGCAGTCTTTGACGTCTAACGTTGTATATATATATATATATATATACAACATTAGACGTCAAATGTTACAAAACAGCATTGCTTAATTAGTTCATTGAAATTATTATGAATTTATTTAGGCGTTACGTTGAGCGATGCCTTATATAAAACAAAGAGTGGCTGACTACGCCAGTGGTTGGTAATTTTTTTTATGATAACTGACAGCCAAACTTCAATCAATTTTAACTTCTAAAACATACTAAAAATATCTATTCTAAAACAACACTTAATTAATTAGTTCATGGAGACTATTATAAGTAAACTAATGTTTCGTTAAATTGTTCTGCTAGATTTTCGTATAATTACTTCCTTAGTTTACAGGCTATATGGAGCATATAGATAATGCAGCATCCAACGAGTTTTCGTAGCGAAAAACATATCATTCCCTTTCCCCATTTGATTTTCAGGACGCAGCCTGATTGGCCGCTGACGCATTTAGGTGAAGTATGAAATTATCTATTGATTTTCTCTTCTTAGTAAGTACTCTAAAGGTATTCCTATGTGAAGGTACTGGGTTGAAATAGTGATGCCATGTTTTGTATGTATTCGTTTTGCTTACCTCAAGCACAAGAGCAAGGACGCATAATAGGCCAAGAGCTAACCCGTGTCTGTACAGGAAATCCTGAAGGGTCTTCACGCAACTCTGCGATGTCACAAAAAGCAAACATTTTCGTTGGGTCATTTATTTCGTTATTGACGTTTCGTGTGCCCCGGCTGTGGCGTGTATCTCTAAGGCTATTCGTAGTATAAGTCTATTGACAGCGCTCTCCACCAAGTGTGTGCATTTTCTTTTAGGTTAATTTTTATATAGTTTTTTTTATCTTCTTTATTATCATTATAACGACTAAACTTTTATTGCTGCATACATATTATTATATATAGAGAAAGAAAGAGCCCTACCGCTGAATTGGAAAATATTTTGTTCAACTTACGACGTCATTGTACATTCCTTGGTTATAACTTTCGTCATAATCGTAATTGATGTAGTTTCGATTGTAACAACTTTGAGGTATAGAAATCTTTCGGCTGATGTAGTCGTCCACGCCTCTTGTGGATCCACAGCATTGCAACTACACATAACAAGATAGAAAGTAAACATTTTACCAGATTTATTAAATTAAAATTAAATAAATTATTTATAGAATCATTATTCGCACTGGTATTTTTATGGAACAAAATAATTAAAATTAAAGATAATATTATTTATATTATTATCATAATTAATAGAGTAGAAAAGATGAAATATGTTATTTCAAATAAATTTAAAAATTTCATGCTTGGAAAAAGCTTGTCATCAGGACGTGTGTACATTAGGTACAGGGTTATAATAACGCTAATTATTTAGCTGGCTAGCCCTTTGGAAAGCGTTTTCAAACCAAATGATGCTAATCATATAAATTGCGATCATAGGCTTTGTTGTTCGTTGGATTTGTTTTCTTGCTAGTCGTTTAGGGTGTCATGACTCACGAAAAGTACCGTATCCGGAAAATGGGCTAAGTCGATTCACTTTAAACGAGGACTTCTCCATCGACAGATGGCCAATGTATGTCTATGTTCGTTCGTTAGCGTGTTTATAATTGTACATTTTTCTATTAAAAGCATCTAGACATTCAGCCATTGATTATTTACAACGCATAGTAACAATAGTTTGCTATCAGCTGATAGACAGTGTCAGCAGTTGGCCGCCGATGATGATGCTGTCGTTTGCGTTAACGTATTCCACCGTGATGGAGCGCGTGTCGAATCGTATTCTACACTATATTATATTATTCGTAGCAGAAAAACAAACCGAAAGAAAAACGAATAGAAAAAAATATGCGATACTCAGACTAGTTGGCCGCTGTTACCACTACCGTTGTTGTATCGTCTACGTTCGATAGACAATTGCTGTTAGCCGAGCGTTGTTTTGTTACTAAGCGTTACAAGCATAACATGGACTTCGTCAATGCTGCGCTGTTCGGAATTATTCTAAGTACTTTTTACCGAACTGATCTATCATAATAGATGTTTATCCACCGTAAGACAGAAATGTTCATCTATATACTATTTACTCGGCAATTTTAGCCAGACAGAATCACGGAAGAAGAGTCATACTGCAATCAAACGGATATTTCTTTTTAACGTCTACGTGTCTTCATCGGCGTCCTGCGAAACGTAATAGAAGCTAGTTAATGACTGTACGAGTGGAAAACGCTGAAATATCATTTTTAGAAGTGCCAATAGCTACTAGCTTAATGTATGACCGAGCGAAAAAGCCTTCAGATCACAAAAAAAAAACAAGCCATTTTGCCACTGAAAATAACGATTGAATTACCAAGGCTTTTAGAGCAAATGCTGCGTGTAATCAAATAGACGCTTTATTAGCCCCATACTTCCAAAGTTAGTTAACGATATAATAAACACTTAGTATATGTTAAGAGAATATCATCATCATAATTGCCACTGGAAATACATACGAGGAAAAAATAACTTTTGTGCCTAGGTAATAAGAATATGAAATAGACATATGTTCACATGCATGCAACAGCCACAGGTCAACGGAACGACCACAAATTGCAAAAAGCTTAATAACCATGTGTACAACGCTAAAAATATGAGTGAAAGTAACACTTTACGCTTGCTGCAGAACGCACAGAAAGCATTAAAAAGGACATAGAAAAAAAAACAAAAAAAAGATTACAGATATGGCTATCTGTTACTTGTCACACCCTTATCGATCCATCGATCAGTTGCTGCGAGAATTTTTACAGAACGGAAGACAAATAGAGTACTGGTTGGAGGAATGAACGCAATTATGAGAAATAGCTTAGTTCTATAAACCAGATCAGGCACTTTCTCGGTATAGTTAGATAGTATGAAAGCTGTGGTCTATCAATGGATGTTTATCGTGGTACCACGACCAAACTTCTTTCTCGACGATCTTAATGGAAATAGTAAGCGCAACTTGAAATTAGCTCTGTTGTGTATTGTAAGTGTGAAACAAGTACCTAAAGTGTTACAGAGTAAGATTTGGCAATTTAGGGAAGAGGAGCCGGTCAGTTCGCTCAGCATGGCGCACTCACGAATGAGTTGAATTTTCTTAGTTTTGTTCGAAAGACATCTATTTTTGCAAATAATATCGAATCAATTCTTACGATAGTTTTGATAATAGAAAAAAAATAAATAAAATAACTGGTTTTACGCAGATCTCCTGTAGTTGATGTTAAGGTAAATGGATAACCTTTTCTCCACCGATGCATCACGTCATCGTAACTAGAATTAGATCAATGCCACTCATCTAAACAAGTTAGGCAATATAAAACCCTAACTATGTAAGATATATCAAATATATAATAGAATATAACACAAAATTTTCAAAAGCATTAGTTTGCATTTACTTAATTTGCCCGAACATTATTCCGTTTTGGGATAGGTACGTCCTCATTGGATAAGTTGGCTATTTCACAGCCTTCCAAGAAACATATTGTTGGAAATAGTATCACTTAACAATTAGGACTGAATTATATCATCAGGTATAGGAACACTAAATGAGACGGAGTCAACTGGAACGTACACGCAAAAATGTACTAGTATACTGAGTTGTAGAATTTACTAGAGAACGTCTGAGCGACGTAGCATATGTCACACGGCGCACGTTGATTGTGTGTAGCCATTGAAGGGCATAAGTGGGTAAACTAGAAAAAGCCTATCTAGCAGTATTTATTTACTGAAAGAGCAGGCCGGTCCGTGCGTACATCTGTGCAGATATACGCTGATAACTGCCTTGTATCGATCTTTTGTTGCACCATGTGCAGGTTACAAAAACCGCGATAGAATAAGCTCTCATCAAAAGAGCAGTTCACGGTTTCGTTCGTCTCTGTATTGTGAGGACGGAAATGGTAGTTCCCAAAATTTGTGACTGTGCTAGCTTTAATGTAGTGCATAAGTACTCCATATGCCAATCAAGATTCCAGCTTATGGGAAGTAACTTGTTCTTCTGCCGAAATCACCTTCGAACCCACGCCAGTAAAAACACTTGAATGAACCTCTTTTCAAATCATTAAAGTTATGCTCTGCTTGGATTCGTGAAAATGACAATAGATACAAACCGTATACTCGACAAAGCTTAGCTCATTCCTGTTGAAACTCCAGTCTTCGTCGCCTGATATGTATTCAATCCTGCCATCTCCATACTGCTGAATCACGCGGTCGATCAGACTCTGTAGTCTTTTCTCCAGCTGGCAAACGTGTACGAGAAACAAAATCCATAAGCGTGATCACGATACTATATATATGTATATGTATATATTATATATAAGGAAATATATGTAAATTAATTTCTGCAATGGAAAAACACGTGTGGCTTTTGGAAGCTGAATTTTTCGGAAATTTTTAGTATGAAAATAGATGGACTAGGAACTGATTTTCAGGACAGGGTAGTTTTAGAATAGAACGCTTCCAAATATTCTTAATTAATCAATCTGAACAGAGAGAGAGATTTTAAGCGGTCTGTTAGCATCAATTCCTTTCAACTAGACCGTACTGCGATCATGGTAAGATCGTTTTCTTCTTCGAACTCTAAAATAACGTTATTAATGATATCGTGGTGAACAAATATAAAACGCTCCATATTGGGAATTGTGGATTCCATGGGAGTAAGAAGATCTAAAGTTATTCTCAAAGAAATCGTCGGACAGAAGAAGAATCTTTCTACTAGATGCGATCATACATTTCATTGACACTACAATGTATGTTCATATTTGAATGTAACATCCCTCCAGTTCCCTACAGGTGGGATCACCTCTGTAATAAGAACGATAACGAACTTAATTATTTGTACTTTATTTTTACTATTAACATTAGTGTTATCCGCAACCATTACACCGTGGTGATTAGATGGTTTGATAACTGTGTTGAAAAGCTAACAGGTCTATCGAAATTACAGATATAATGAACAAGGTTAAATCCTCCGCAAGGAAAATGGGGACCGCACTGATTAGGTTGTATTTCGTGGCCTAAAAAGGCCGCCTGCACAAAATGCTAAACCAGACGATTATACCGGGCGTTACTTAGCTGTAGCACTTCGATTGTTGCCACACAGGTTTACGCACTCCGGAAACGTGTCGACGCCTATCTCGACAGCAGTATTATAAAAGCAACAATCCCCATAAGAGTGTATATTCGGAAGCGTATGCTTTCTGACAGAATCGACGACGGAAATAGCAATGCGTCAAGTTATTTGGTTCCTAATGACGTGTTAATCTTTTAAGGGGCACATATAACTATCTCATACGCACAGGTCATGAAAGACGATAGGTGAAGTTTCTCAAGCATTGGCAAGTCCTGCTGCGAACTGGCATTCTGAATGTGTTCTTGACGTCACGATCAGGCTATCAATATATGTCTGTTCATCAATTTACAATTTGCTGTCTATTTACAATTGGTATTTATATTCGTTAACGTTGAGCTCTATTGGCCTTGACCGCCTTTTATTTAAATGCATCTGCATTCATTACCAATACTCACAATCACTACGAATCACGTAGAAGCAACATAAATAGGGTGATCAAAAAGGTTTAAGGTTAACATGTTTTTTATATATTTCTAAATTATATTATTACCCTCCACTTTGATCGACGTCCCTTTACCATTTCTCTGGTAACAGGTAAATAAAGTGATTTTTGAATCCCTCCGTTGACGCTAAATGAACACCATTAAAGGGCCTTTGCAGGGACCGACACAGATGATAGTGGTCTGATGGTGCAAGATCCAGACTATAAGACTAATGCATTAAACTTCCCCATTCAAGTTCTCCTATCTTTTTCGTTGGGTGGTTAACTAAAATGCACTTGGTTTGACTTTTTCATAGAAGGAAACGACGTTGTCAATGGTTTATATGTTGTTGGCAGTAGCAAAACGAGTCGATTGTTTTGTTAGCAGACAGCAGCTCTTAATACACAATTTTTTTCTAAATCTGACGCCAGCCCGGACTTTTCCACTGGTCATGGGTCACTTTCTATTACCCGTGCTTAATCGCTTTAAAAATCATTTGATTTCTTTGCCTTTTTGTAGATTTTCATACATGGAAACGCGATCGAGTGAATTCGTGCCCGTCGATTCGTGTGGCACTCAAACATTGAGCTTTTTTCGTAGCCAGCTTTGTTCAAGTGGTTTGAAACCGTCTTGTGGCCGATGCCTACCTCCTTGACGATATCATGGCTACTCATGTGTCGGTATTACGAACTTTCGCAATAATTTCAACAATGTTTTTTCGTAATTGATCGACCACTACGAAGAGCATCTTTCACACCGAACGAAAGCGAGAGAACCGTCTTTGGGTCGCTGCTTTCAATAACACGTTTTGGCCATAAATGGGTAATTCTTTATAGGCTTGGACAGCACGTGTGCTCTTATCGTAATCAACCTGTAAAGCATAGCTCATTTTTTCAGACGTTGTACTTACTTTTAAGACGAATAGAGGCGTTCCAATCGTTCTAGCACATTAACTAGTGTCAAATCTTAGCTTCCAAATGATATTAACGGCGACCCCATGTTACTTGAGATATGTAATTTTACGGTCATCTAGCTAACAAAAAACCGTCAATACTTCCCCGACAATATATATATATATATAAAAATCAAATTATTTACCACACTTTAGTTAACCGGATGTATCAGCTAGTGCCGATACGAAATAGCCATGCTACCCAAGCTATGGAAGCTAATTAGAAAAAGACAAAACTTTTTGATATAATTCGTAGGGCAACAATTTCATAATGTAAATGCGTTCGTATATTATGCAACATAATCTATTGTAATAAAAATTGATAGCTTATACATACCGTAGTGCCCCGCTTGTAATACCAGGTTAGAATGCAGCAGGCAATCTCGAGGATCATGTGGCATACGAGGAAGAAAGAGAACTAGAATGAAGATAAATTTTTTTTCAAATAATACATGTTAGTCTGCTTATTGGTCGATTATGATTGAAAATAACAATTTTCTATTCGATAACAGCCCTCCTATTTGTCCTTTTTCGTCTATTTGTACTCGACAGTCAACCGGATTACGAACTGTCTTTTAAACCTCATAATTTTATGAATTTACATCGGTGGGAATGGACCGTCTCAAGACTGACTTGGGAATGATTTTTGCGCGTGCAGGCTTGCCTTGCCTTGCCTTGTCTAGAAAACACAGCGGTGAGGACAACAGATATGCGAATATTGGTCAAAACGGTTGTAAAAAAACAATACGATTTTTCATCATTGACTCGAATGAAGATCAGAAGATCGAACAACTACCCTGACAATGGGTAAGAGAATGTGAAATAGTGTCAAATTGTGTCGGAATATGCGATCTTCTTTTTAAGCTCCGCACAGCAAAAACATACGTTGTTTGGTCTTCGAAAAAAAATTTGTATAATTTTGCCATGCAATTGTCGGTGATATTGTATATGGTTGGCTTCAAAATAGCCGAAAGGTCATCCATGTTCCCAGATTACTCATTGGTTTAATTTGTCGAACGGTCCAGTATTTAAACGAAATTTGATCAACTAAAGTGGGTCCTTATCGAGCAATTATCGATAAGTTACATTGGAAAAAATAGCAAGGATGTATGTTAGCGTACTGCAAAATACACGCTGTGTGGGTAGGTCAAGACTAGACGCAAAAATCGCGGTATATAACTGAATGAGCATTAAGCCTATGCGTATTTGCACGTTAAAAGCACGCGGCTATCGTACACAGTTGATTTATCAATAGCGACAGCCAATGATCATAATAACGGTGAATATAAGAACTTGAAAAGCCTATCTGACAAATTTAGACTTTTTAGTTTAACAGTTTATGTAAAACGGATCTATCTCATGAAGCGTTTGTAGTATCAGTGTATTTGTACAGTATTCGTGAGCCGTAATAAAATAGAGATGCTTACAATTAACAGCAGAGGTCGGCTGCGGGCGTTCACACCGAGGCAGCCGATAATTCCCAAAACGATAACAAGAACACCAATCACTACGACGAGGATCGATGCGCTTTGGAGAGGTCCGAAGTGCCGCAGAGTTTGAAGGCCACTCATGCGCGAGTCCGTGAGTAGCAACGACCCCATAATAACAGCTGCCAATCCGACTGACTGAAAGCGAATGTGCTCGTTTGAGTCATGACAGCACGCAACCGAACAAAAACCTGATTTCACTGCTACCCGCTGACTGACACTCAAGGAACTGAAAAATTTGCCATTTTCGGATATAGAGAGGTAGATTTGCTTTAAACGACTATACTATGACTCCCGCTATCAATGACAGAATTAACATCAGGAATAGTTCGTTTCATGAGTGGAATTTCGTTCATATCTCCATGGTTTTCCGCAGTGTTGCACCGTATCTTGTGAAACGCTTGCCGAATTGGTGACCTGCAAGGACCGGCTATTTTCCTATGCGATACCTAAATTGTACCGCACACACAGGCGCAGACGGAAGCATCGTTGAAATCCTGCCGCTTATCGAAGGAAATTAAATAACTGGCAGAGGGTTTTGCTTTAAATGTACATAACGCATACGATTCATAACAGAACCTCCTAAGTATGAGCAATGACACCGTATAATAATTCGCAATTTAATTCTCTGTATGTAATCTTGTCTTGAGCGTTAAGAGACATTTCTGTTATCGTATACCGTGTAGAATCCGAATTAGAAGATTTTTTCCACGTGAGTCATTCCAGACAACGTTCACTGCCAAATAGAGGCGTGTTCTTCCTAGAACAGCGCGGCACGGATCTGATATCCATGACAGCATTTAACGTAAATCAGAGCGTTTGACTGCCCGTCTACATCTCAAAGTAAGGTCTTACTCAGCACTTCCATTAGACCTACATTAGCTATCAAATACAGAGGGTTAAGCAACCACATAATTATATCGCAATCTGTTTAAAAAAAATATTATGAAAATTAAAAGCGTTTTTTCGTGGCTGGTTGTACCCTTTGTACTTCGCTTCAGCACTTCCTTCCTTCTAGCTGTTTCTAATTATGCTAAACGCGATCATTTAGTTACGTGGGGCAGATTTCGAAATTGTCTACAATTATATTGGCCAAAATTTACCTCGTAAGTATCGCGTCTGTATCTGCTCATGTACAGACATTATGAAATTTTGAAAACTTCTCCACACCGTATTTAGTATACTATTACTACTCAAAGGGAAAACGGCTTTGCATTGAGCTCGTCATTTTTCTAAACGTATTGCGACTGTTTCATGCGATAATTCCTATTAGCTTCCATAACGCTTTTTAGCTACCGCGGAACGTACGAAAAAGCGTCTCAGTGGTTCAAGTTGTAGAGTATTTGTGGGTTTAAACCATAGCTATTTAAATGATTATATTATTATGGCTTGGCTCGACAAAGGACTATGGCAGCATAATCACCCTCTCGAAAGCTTGTGTTACAATGAAGCATTTAGGTATGTTGGTTATCACTTTTTTGGAAAAAGTTTGCCTTTGAAATGCCTGATTAAAATTAAGTATCAATAAAGAATTGGACTATTACTCACCCATAATACCGCTGTAAGTACCATATGTGAAATTTCGAGTACTCCATTGGAGCGCGCTAGAGCAGGCGACATTGTCAAAGCAGATCGCGGATGATGATTTTCTGTGTTTTCTGAAAAAAAAAACACGTTTTTATATAATTATTAATCCACACAATAACCGAAGACAGCAATTTTTTCGCTTCGTTTATCAACGGATCATCCGCCTGAAAAGCTGCAAGGTCTGTCTTAACATGTGGACGGGGCCGGTTGCTGGTTTTTAGGTTATTTTTGGGCTATCTCTTATTGTATAAGTAACATCACGTTAGATGCTGTGCAGATAAGGCCGACGATACGTTACTAATTTGGAAAGCTGGGAACTAACGACCATTATGGCACAACGACGTTAAGTTATTTTTCAACGGACAGATACATCGGTAGGAAATGCTTTATTTTTAAATTTGTCCAGAATTTGTGTAAAAAATTTAATTACGTATTTTATGCCTCTGATTTTATGCTAAATACTGTGCGCTTAATCGAATCGTCGACATCACTACAATAGTACCTGTGTCGTTCGGTACGCTAGTTTTAGTTAGTCCTTTTTTTTCTGCGAACAGTCGCCCCGACTACGCAGCAACTTATCGGCTAGAGCTGCCTGCTGGAAGAACGTTCTTACGTTTCATCAAAGCAGGCACAAGTTCTGTTCTTCAAAGAAGTAGCGCCTACCATAACATATACACTTTAGGCTTACTCTTTAAACCCTATCAGATAGCTAAAGTGTTCAAAAAGACCTGAACTGATTTCAATGTACAGTTCTCCGTGTCAACAATATGACCCATATAATCGTTTTTGATCATTTAATTATATCCTCACTGTATAAAAACTTCCACCCCAAAGGGGCTCTTTCTTGATAGAGGCTGATCAATGCTAGTTAGAGTTATTTATTCTGCAAGATTCTCGTCAAACTCGCGGTTAGTGCGGTGTTATTTATGACGCAATATATACTGTGTGGGATTTTCTTCAAAGTTAGCACTCAGCTTTTCCGGCAAACTCAACAAAAATTTCTGGATCGAAGATTTCGCTGTGGTACACACACAAACCTATACTCAATATGCACCAAGCCAAGTTCTTTGTCTCTTTGCACCTGATATGTATTATCAAGAGCTATCGTTTTGACGATTCTCGTTGACAATTGTGCAGTAACACTTATCTATCGATCCGTACGTAGAACTCGTTCGTCGACTGATGATACGCGCACATATACACATACGAATACGCACAGTCATTTGCTGATGCACGAAACAATTTGACGCGACCTCGATATTTTTCTCGCGATGACGTTTTCCTCCAGGCCTTCAGAGCGTCCCCCTGTTAAACGCCGTTCGGGTGGATTCCTTCTATCGTATTTTCCCTCCTGCCGGCGCTGTTGCCTTTGCTTTTCACAGTAGAATTTTCATCGAACGGTCCTCTTCTTTCGTCTTTGGGAAATCCGGTGTCGGAAGAATCGTCAAAACCATGCGCATCGTCGCTATTTCGGTTATCGCAGCTATCGACGTTATTACGTCCTCTGCCTATTGTACAAGAATTGCTATAGCCGTTTTGCCCTCGACGACTGTCGGCCCCCCTCACCTTCATAGGCGTCTCCAATGGCAGCCTGCACTATAACATTCCTGCAAACGGCCTCCTTTATATGCTCCCTGCCCTGCGCTCTGCTGTCCTACAAGCTCATACTCAGTCTTAGACTGCTTCCTCTGTCCGCCTTGAGCGGCGGCCCTAGCGACTGACCACGGATCAGCAACGGTGACTGTGGGTCCTTCGTTGACGCCTCAAACCAGTACAGTAAACTTAACGATGATCTCCAAAATGATGCGGCAGCCCCACTCCACGTAGCGTCGCTTGCCAATTTGTTGACCTCTCCTACTACGACAGTAGCAGCTGCGGCTGTTACTGCCGTCGCCATTCAGCCCTAAAGGCAGCCTCTTGTTCGCGGTACTGACTTTAGCTCGCACCTGCATTGACGTTATTTGATTGTCATTAACTTTAGTGATCGTTTTCGTAAGAGCGAGTGTACTGGTTAACACAGAGTATGAACCGCTGTGATAATGGGCGTAGGTATGTTAGCGATGAGGATATTAGAGAGTGAGAGTGAGTCAGAGAGAGAGAGAGAGAGAGAGAGAGAGAGTACGCAGCACTGATGATTGATGGCTTGCGTTTTACTACCTTTTGTTGATCCCCTAAGCCAGGGAAGCCTTTTCCTTTCTCTTTTACGGCTTTTGTGTCCGGCTCTGCTGCAGCTCGCGGTACTTCTACAAGTCCAATTTAATGCTCTAGCTGTACTTTCATTTCGTTCAGTCATCGGCCGTTCCTCGATCTGTTCCGAAGCCAATGTCTATTGAATTGTGTCCTAGCGAAAGGCCTACGAGCGCCTCTATCCCTCCGTTTGTTGTTGTGCAGAGGCTATACGACCGGCGCATGGCTGCGTTCGTGTTCCGCTATTTCTATCCGCTCCGTCTGCATATAGTGCAGGCAAAACGATATAAAGCATGCATATATCTACATGCAGAGCGTGAGAGAGAGCAATAGATGGCGAAAACGCGCTCGCAGCAAAGCTGACTCAATCAGGCTGACAACGGACCACTCTTTTCTCCCATCAGTTACGCTTTTTTGCTCTCCTCCGTACCACGCATCGACGAAGGCTCCTGCAGCTGCTTCTGCTGATATCGAGACACCGCTTTAGTCACGGCGGCTCACACTGCTGTAGTTGTTGCGACGGTCGTGGTGTTTCGTGGTCAGTCAATAAGTCAGTGGGTGACGCTTCTGTTCTGCTTTGGCCACTGCGCTGTCGCTCCTGGTTGGCGGCCGACTAAAGTCACAGTAGCATCAACAACAGCGGCGGCGGCGGCGGCGGCGGCGGCGGCAACAACTATAATCGTAGTACCTGTCACAAATGACTGGGCAGGGATAATCGGCAATAGGCACCTATCGTCCGACCCAGCATCAACGCGCCTGTACTATTCGAAATTAATCTTGGCATCGGCGCTCGAGCGGCGGAACCGGCAAGAGCTTGCTGATGCGATAGTCAATACAATGAAATACGTAGATCAGTGAGACGCAGAGGGGAGCACTGACAGTTTAAACGCACGGTAATCTTTGACGGTAAGCGTATGCCATGCGTTGAAGTGATAGTTAAATCAGAACACAGAGCTACCATACTTCGTCTCAGGTGAAGGCAACTATTTGGTTAGCGCTATACTTCGGGGTCGACATCGAAACGAAAACAGGCGATTTTCGAAGCCTTCATCAGCCCAGCTATTACTAGCGGTGGTAATACATTCGTACTGATTGCTTCAGTAGCCGGCAGGCGGATACTAGTGACGCCAAGGGGGAGCGTTACGGAAACGCATGAACTAGTCTCTGTTTCGTGTAGCTTGTTGAGATGTACTGGGAATGATGCGCGACTGAGACGAAACATTAAACTGACCAAAGAGATATGATAAAATTTTCTGGAGATTTAAGATGTAGTCGCAGGTAGTAAAGGCCGACTATAATAGGCGTTCTTATTTAACGAAGATCGTTGAATGTACGTCGTCCGCACACACAGGATCTATCCAACGGTAATTTTGCATCTGAATAATAGTCATCAGATAGCGAGTGCGATAGCAGCGTAAAAATAGACGCACCCAGTAATAATTTTATAGTAATAAGCACCTACAGTAGAAGTGGTAATAGTAAGTTTGGTAAAAACACACCAAGCGTATCCGTATATCAGCAGCTACGATTCACCTTATTGCAAAGATGAAATGATGTACTCCATCAACGACAACGTTTGAGCGTAGGCACCACGCTAAAATTTAATAAAAACGATAAATGCAATGCGCTTATACAGTTTCACATGGAAAAATTAGGCCGAGCATGGTTAACAATATGTTTTTGTTTATGCTGATTTTGGCTTTACTCTAATAGAAATAGCCGTGCACGCTTATGGAATGACATTGCTATATAATGACTGAAACAAACGCCCCTATCGGGAGAGCTTAATATCTTTTATCTAATCAATGAGACATCCTGGACAGTTTCTATAAATTTGAACACAAGGCCGATTTTCGTCAGGTATGTCGTTGGTCTTATACTGCTTTTTTAAAAATCTGAGAAAACATAGAACGTACATAGCAATTATTTAACCGAGTTTCGAGGTGTAAACACACGTAGAAAATTAGCTGACATCAGGGCCTTCGATCCTAATCTGTCCAATGACGAAAACTGTCCGGAAAGATACTTTTCGAGACAGCGCCGAAAGAATTCTACGGTGGATAGCAACTGGACGTCAAGTCGACGGCTCAGCTTGTACAAACATATTTACACGGCATGCGTTCAGAAAGCACAATTATTGTTCCTTCCAACAGAAAAAAAAGGCACGCTATTATAAATATATAATTTCAGTGAAATATTCATTAATATGTAATCAAAACAAAGCAGTGCTCTACGCATTCTCTATAGATACTGTTGCTTTCAAAATAGTGGCTTCTATATATAGGTTCTCTATATTAAATGCATGAAGATGATCAATTTTATTATGGGTGGGTAAACAGTTGCTACTAGAGAATGCGTTCACGTGTGAAAAATGATAATCTGCTCGGTAAGGTAAATCAGATATATATATTGGCTTCCTGCTCTGACTTGTGGCCCTAGTGTGATCAGGGATTCCAGCCTCAACAAGTTTACCACCTCAATTTCTTCCCGGTTTGTCTCTAATCGATTTAAGTTTTATTATTATTTAGTTATTCAAGTGAGTTATGATAGAACTTAGCGTCTGCTTCGTCTGTCACGATGCTGCCACGCCTCCACGAACGACTAAAGGAATGTTTGACAATAGTTTGTATTTCGGTAAGCTCCTCTATCGTTGTGGTGTCTGTGTAAAGTTCGTACCTGTTCTCGTTTTTACTGTAGCTAGATCTGTGGCTTAAATTTCGTATACAGCATAATAGCGGCTGGCAGCGCGCTGGGTCATTGGAGCAATGCTGGCGGAACGTAGAATGCAAAACGTTCTATTGAACTTCAGTAGTGGTGGACGGTCGCCATCTTCGCGTGTCGAGAAAAACATTTTTCATTTACTATTACATAATGATTTTTGAGTGGCTTAATTACCACAGTCGCCACAGGCTTCAACTGCTCGTTCAACACAGGCGGGTGGTCGATATAATCCGATCTTATCGGCTAGGGACATTGATATCGTTCGCCTTATACTAGAGGGCTCGTATAAGTAGTACTTTGATACGGCAAGCACCGCTCCTAATCCAATGTCCGTATTCACTCATAAGATAAAATAGTATACATATTCGGCTAGCTTGAAACGTCTTAGATACTATATTTTTCTTTAACACTAAAATAACTAGTAATAATGTGAGGGAATATGAATGTTTTGATAAGATAGGGCTTTTAGCGATATTTGAATTGACGTAGCTATGATGTCTGTCACTCTGGTTCGAGGTAGACCAAAATAAGATGCCATTTGAGAACTCAAAACAGACTTACCTGCGATTAGATTACTGGATGAAGTAAAAGCTTGCCGTCCGCTATGGAGGATTTTTCAACAAACATGCAACACAGGTCTAGTATTGATTGTTTCTTACTATGAAACCTACCTTTGTTTACTGCACTACGCATGCACGAGCTTTTACCGTAGCAGTAACCTTGTTGGAATTAACACATCGAAGTTTTCTCGATACGGCGAAACTTGGCCGTAGGCGTGCGTTTCAACGAAGTATATTGTGTTAACGAGGATCGGTGCGATAGTCCGTTGTAGACTAATCCAGGTAACGAAAGCATTCGTAAACTCAACAATAGTGTATTGTAAACTGTCTGATAGAACCTGCAGAACTTTCGCCGTCGTTTATACGAAAGACCACGAAGCGCCAGCGGGCCCTACAAATAGCGACCGTTCTTATCTTAGTATCGAATAGCTATCGTGGTAGTAATGTATGTACCTTCCTGGCAATTTCCTTACAATCTCTATCCAGTGGTAATCAGTTCCTGTAGAAGGACTAGACTGCCGCTGCAACTAAACACTCTCTGCAATGTAAAGCACAGAAAATAATAGTAGTAAGATATTAGCGTGCCACACTAAGACACTAAAATTGCTATTCATTTGACAGTATAGAGGTAGCGTATGAGAATACACCGAGGGCAGTCATTAGGACAAAAATAAGCTACCCATTTGAACTCCTCGATTAGTCTATCAAATGAAAGTAAAAAGATACCAAATGTTACTTTACTTCTCTTTGTATTACGACTAGTAAGAACCTCTAGACCAACCAATCCGTAAAACAATAGTTATTATTATCATTTCACTTCTATTACGTCGCTATTTCAAATACTGGAAAGACGTCAAACATTTCAAGAATATCAAATCGCGTGCAACTGCAAAATGTATACGTGCCAAATGTACTGGCACCTCATAATAGAGCATATATTTATACTGTTCGGATCAAGATGGCCTGCTTAGGACAACTTTTCTCTGCTCTTCAATAATAAAAATAACGATTGAAATGTAGTAAATGATAATAGCTCTTTGCAAGCGCGCAAAGTCAACAGAGATACACTGGCTGGCTATCTATGGCGACGTTGTCCCGCCTCGCCGTTTGAAAACAACGCTCGGAGAGAGGGAAACGAGCGAGATATTGGGCTCAACTGGCGGCAAAGCGTAACCGCACAATTCAAATACTAACATTTATTCCGCTACGATGATATGCTCACCCACTAATGGTAATAATGATTTATTACGAGTGCTTGTTGTTCTTCCAAACATCAATTGTATTTACCGAATAAGAAGCTGAAGAGAGTCTGCGACGGATGCCAGTTATATTTAGGAGAACAGCTGGAGGAAGATAAGACATATGTAATTCTCATTTATAGCCGCAGAAAATCGACAGTAAGCCGTGTACAGATGAATGCAACGGTATTATCACTACTTTTGTAGATCAACTAGAATGCACCCATTTGTCTTATGTAAAATGTGGTGTTCTTTATACTACTAATATATATATATATATATATATATATATATATATATACACTTATTTTTGTATGAGAGAGCAGAACAGCCACTGAGTGCTCTTGTTTGAGACGAATGTTTCGTTAACTCAAAGCCGAAACGAATAGAGATATGAATAAATTGGAAATAAAGAAAAACTGTCAGATTTTTTCAGAAATTGAAAGATTATTTCCGATATTAAATATTGGATGACACGAAATCCTAATGATGCACTACAACATTTTGGACATCATTTTTATTTATCGTTTAATGTTATCAATATTTATCGACGGATTTGAATAAGGTTATGTACAGTTCAATATAAACTAAGCTAGAGGGGTTAAGCAAGTCACATGAATTATGGGAAGGTTCAATTGCGCACACATTCACACCATACAGGTACTGCTTTTTCAACAAACTCCCATTCTTTTTCAATCGAGGTGGGCTTTCCATAATCACATTTCTTTTCTATCCGACGCAAAATAATTACCGTGAAACTACGCGGTACACATCTGTAATGGCTAAACCAGCATCTGAAATAGAAAACAAGCCAAGATAAAATATGTCAAATCACACTGGTTATTCGAGAAAAATCGAATTTTGATAATAAAATGTATTATCTTGACTCTTCGTTCTCTGTTTCGCCTAATTCATTATACCAACAAGGAAGTGGTTAAAAATAGTTTCATCCTATTACGTACCTATCACAAAGACATTTGACTTTCCGAAGGTACCGCGGATAATAATTGTCTCCAAGGTCTTCCCACTCTGTCGTTCTTTCACACGTCCATGTAGAACTCGGCTCAATCTCGTGTTCGTCCATCTGCCTCTTAGACCTCACTGGGGGAGCAGAAAAATGAATACTGTTACCACCAACAGGGGCTTCATAGTTTTCGTCAACGAAAAAATCTTGAAATGGGGCCTGGTCGCTTTGCACTTCACTGTCCCCAGATACTCGACTTTCAAGCTCCGGGGGTGGATCGACTGACAAATACCTAAACGAAATAAGAATCTCTGTTAAACATCTAAAAGATTTCGCTAGCAATTAGTGACAGTTTTCTATTTGATTACGTTCAAATTGATCTGAGAAGCAAATACATTCATACGCAAAAGACGTAAAAACGGGACATGGAGTGGAGAAATAGTCTATTGTTTTAGGTATCTGTTGAGCCCTAGGAACCGATTTGATAATCTTTATATTGCTTTTAAAGGCGTTCACATTACCTACACCTCGAAGTTTATAACTACGCAAGGAGGAAAAGGGACTGACCGAATGTGCGAAATTTCTATCTGGCCACTGGAACTTACTAAAAACAATTGTTCCCAGTGTAATGTGGCTTTACTAACTACAATCAACTGAACGTATGAATAATAAAGATAGAACATAAATTTATAATTAACGTGCGCGAATTGGCGCTATCTCGGCGGTAGAACTCTGACTACTTCAAATAAATAAAGTACTTAACTGCCTCCATTTAAGGATTTTGAGCATAATAGTTCCGCGATTCTGTCACACACAAAATCCAGGGATCATTAGACTTTGGGAACGCACATCAGCCAGTATTATTCTGTTGCTATCTTCGAAAAAGTCGTCAAGTTGCACCAGTTTTTAAAAGTGATCATAGTTCGTGTCACGTTATAACTTCGGTACAGCTATAGGCAAGTCTAACCTGCGGTTAATCATTTGCGTGATCCCTGTCCGTTTGATCATTTCGTCCAATTCCTCGTCATTTGCAGAACGACATTTCCGAGATTTCGACGGTATGGCCAGGGTGAACTGAAGAATGCACACGAAAACGAGCAGTGCAATAGCAGCTACCATAAAGTCCACCTGCCACCGACGACGGGAGTAACTCTGCCCAAACAACAACTGTCGCAGCGTCATTTCGAACAATCATAAGGTCGCTGGACGAGCCTAATCAATGGAGAGGGAATGAATACCTCAATACATTTGTATGACACTATTCAAGTCACAATGGAAGGATGTGTATTGTGATCACTTGGGCTTGAACATGTGCTTTTTGAAAAGCGTTTTCACTCCTCGAGAAAGAACATTGGGTTCGCGAAAATTGTGGCGAGATATCCTCGTGCGATTCCGCCAAGTGATTAAACAAATCAGAAGAAACCCTTTCGTCTAAGTTAACTGTCGTGTTGTTTGCTACTGGATCAGAAAGGGTGTCGACCCCTAACCCCCAGGTAAGTCTCTCCTTCAAGGCGTTTCCGATTAAGCTGCTAGAAGTACCGTCCCTCGAAAGCTTGGCCAACTGTACTTAATGACGGCGAACAATTCTTTTAAGCTGAGCTACCTATGGTCGGACGAAGGTGTTTATGAAAAAAGTGTTTATATAGAGAAAAATGATGATCACAATTAGATAGAAGCTTGCAACAGTCATAATCAGTCTAACAAATTAGTTCCAGATGCTCTTCTCCTTTTGCCGAGAATCTTTGACGTGCGGACTTCGTTCATACAATAGATTTGTTTCAAATGCAAGTAGTTTTACTATAAGTGACACGATCGAAACGGTGCCATCTTGAGGCTGTCGCCTAGGACACGATCAGTTGTTTCAGAGAGGCACAAGGACGTCTTAAGTAAACGTCTGCGGGTGATAAAGTTTTCTAATGGCACCAAAGTTACCGAAGCAGCGCTAGCCACTCCTCCAATTCATCTATTTACAAGACTCCCCAGTGATCATTAACGTTTCAGGTTCAGTAAACTGCTATTGGAATCTCAGTTATATTCGTTACCTTACGTGACTAGATCCCAGTCTAGGCCCTACATGGGCTTCTAATTTAACTAACTAGAGATCTGCAAGATTCCAGATAAAGTGAGCTTTTTTTTTCGACCGGTACAGATAATCCCGCCGTATGTTTACACCCGATTTTAGATCTATACCATCTTACGTGTCTTCAAGTTTAGCAAACGAACGAGTAACTTCTGCACCATCATAGTGATTTAAAAAAAATCTGACCCACTTTATAAGAATGTGTTATCTATCTATATGGAAAGATCATCTATCCCATAAAAACAAGCCTTACCGATCTCCCAAAACGCGGTCCTGCGAGTTCGTAAAGCTGCAAAAGGTCTTCCGTATTTTTAATGCGTTTAAACACTGCAACATCGATCCACATGGCCGATTTTGCAATCCATAGCTTTCAATCTGCGACCTTATGCCATTTCACGAGTACTTATGTATTAGACAGTCTTCAGGACCGCTTTCTTTACTTCGGAGATCGATAATGAACTTTATAAGGTCAGGAAAAGGTTTTCAGTAATCTTCATCCAACGGCTCTGTCATTACTAGTTACTACCGAGCCAGTTGTTCGCTTATATTACGGTAAATTGCGTGTGAGGTATCTCTTCTTTAAATTAGATCTTCTCCCTCCTCGTTCTTAGATGATTTTAAATGTTTTCTTTCTTTTGATTATTCCTTTGAATCTTTTTCCATTTTAAAAAGGGCTCTTTTTATATATATATATTTTGAGGCGTTCATCTGCTATAATTGTCCCAGGGTAGTTTGAAATATGTTACCTTCTGAAGTTCAGCGATGTACTTTTTTCATGTTTCTTTATTGTACATTTTATATTCAAATGGATTTTTATTAGTTCAATATAATTCGGTTGTTAGAAAGTGTGTAATTAGAATATGTCTGAAATGTCTTGTTTTTGCTTGACTTCGTCGTGACTAATTTACTTTTTTCTTCCACTTCCACTTTATTATGTTGTTTATATAATCACCAGTTGAATATGATTACAATAACTTGTGCTGTATACGACATTTTTTATTACTACAATCATGTTGAATTGTCACACGTTTCAATAGACGGGTTATATGCCAGGGAAAAAGGAGAACGCTAAGCCGTTAACTGGTTCCACAAGGGTACGCAGTATAAAAGTGACAATATGAAAAGTTAGTAAAAGTGTTTGAAATAACAGTTTCATCAATCTGTACCTATTTTAGGAATCATATAACACTTGCAATCAGAGATATCTAAGAATACCGTCTTTGAGCCAATATTTTTGGTAGCAGTTAACAAGACAGCATACTCTAGCCAAGTTTTCTAATATACCTATTCGGTTCCTGTTTCGAAACAGTTCTAGCTCGTCGGAAATTTTATGTTAAACACCGAATTAAAATACATAATGTCGAGATAGGTTTTTCCTGCTTTTTTTTTTGTTTTTTATCGCTTCTGTTGTTGTTGTTGTTATATGAGCAAAAATATGTTGATGGAAATATGTTAATTCAGTCGGAATCAGTAATTGAAAGAATCGGGATATCACTAGTAAGGCTCCGATTTGAATCTAGGATGGGATGGTAAAGACGTCTCTGTTTTGGCGCTCTACCGGTCTCTGTTTGTTTATTAGGCGCGCCCTGTTTTACCGAGCTTGTTGATGTCACAGGCTCGACGCGGCTGACTTGGGACGCGTTACTCGTCAGAGCACTCTTCTGTGACTTCTTTGTCTTTCTGGCTGGCCGTTGTCTTTCTGAGGGGGGCACCCACCCACTATCATCAGATGATTGTTGATCTTCTTTCATAAATGACTGAATCGAATGCATGGCCATTTGACGTTTCTGACCAAAACTCGACACATTTAATTGAGATGATTGAGACTTGGAGGAAGTTACACTACATGGAAGCTTGTTTAGCGTCCTTTTCAACGCGCTAGTTGGCGTGCTGTCCGTTTTCGTAGGTAACTTAGATTCGTCTCCCTGAAAACATCTTAAGACTTATTTCATTTGTTTGTTTTATCGATATTTTAATAATCGTTGAAATATCTTATCTATTGTTATAGGCCTGTACGCGCTCTTGAAAGTTTATGGGGTACACTACATTCTAAGCGCGGTGGATTCGAGACGGTTGTTGCCATAGGAAATAGTTATATCGTGAAGCGCGACTGAAATTATTTAACAGAATAAAGACTCTTCTTTGGAAGCCCCATCGTAATACGCGCCCCCTCACTCCACGTCCTTATCAGTTCGTCCTCATGTTTATGGATTACGTACAGGAAGTGTACGTTGTGGATATGCCGTGAGGAGACACGGTATATTCGGGATGGATAACTGGATATGATAGAGCATTATTTAACCAGTCTCACAAATGGTTTCGACCCCGATGGCTTTCCCTCCACGCCCTTTTTCATGGCCTCCATATATATTACTTTGAATACGATTTCAGCTCGCCAATTAACAAACGGATTCTTTCTATCTGTCAAACATGTGGGATGATAATAAAGCGTTTGGCCCAATTTAAAGTTATTTTAACAATGGTTCTATTTATTAGCGCAGTTCCATCGACTATAGGTTAGAAAGTTTTTAATTTCCTTTTAGGCGTGCGCACTCCAAATATCTGTATGCACTGCAAGGTATATACATATATATTCAACCTCTCTCTGGTAGATCATAAAGGCTAGTACATGGAAGCATTTGTTAAAAACAAATCTTACGTAGACAATTTTGGGAAGATCATACACAATATATTTTGGGCCTGTAAATATGCTAAGCCTTTCTAGGCTTCCGAGCGATATCATATGGGATCATCGACGGGCGTGGTCTTTATTGCACTGTTCCCTTTATCTGATACATGTATACGTTTAACCTACTTCATGAAAATTCGGAGTGGCATAGAGCTTAGAGTGGAAGCCGTGGAATGTGTACCTAGTTGCAGCATGGCAACTCGAGCGGTTTACTTCTTGTGGTTCTCTGTAGTTGTAGATTCATAGAATTCTACATCTACATCCGCTCATGTTCCCTACCAACTGGCGAAGTGCTTGCTAAAGGCTGGGGAAGACGTGGATTTAAATCTTCAATGAACAGGGATGTTCTAGCGAGGTGGTAAAATAGCCGATTTCCTACAGTGCGGTGAGGTCCGAGCACACGTCTAGTAAAGGCAGCTCTGAGCTAACTTTGTTGCTTTAATTTTACAAGAATGTCATATTATGCGTATGCGGTATGCAACCCGCTTTTTCTTTTGAAGCGGAATACTCCGATGGTCGGCAGCGATTGAGCTACCATAGCCTTTCTGCACCTCTCCGAAACGTACGACAAAAAACGTTTACCGTTGAACGAAACAAGTATCTTGAGTTAGAGACAACTGCCTACGGAAGCAAGGGCGACTCCGTAATAGAAAGCGCGTCTTGGGAAACAGTTTGCACTCCTCTCCTACACATCATCGCTAGAAACCTCGTTAAACTTACAGTAAAGCTGAGAATATTTGCAGTTCTATCTAGCTAATCCTCTTTAGTGGATACAGGAATGGCGGCTCCGATAGAAAGCTAGGTAGTCAGCTTAAATGATTTCCCTCACGTGGCTTCCCGAACTCTTGGACCATCATTAGCAAATCCCTCAAAAGTGCGGGAAACAGTAAAGGGCTGAGTGCATTCCACAGCGGGAGGTCCGGTTTTCGAGACGATGATTGAAGCTCTGCCACACGCCATCGTAAATCCTTATCGATACATAAAATTTGATTCTAATAAAGACCTAACTAATGGGCTAGTAATAATACTGAAGTAACGATTAAGATAGGAACTGAACATTAACGGGAAGCAATTTTGGCGGAATGGGTCCTCCCGTCGGGATCAAGCCCCACACTTATCAGCCCACGCTAAACGGACATTGTTCTGCTTGACTCAATAGTGCATAACAAGTGTTACTCGAATCCTGCTGCGAAGAGAGTGGTAATGAATATGTTCTTCCACTGTATCTTTTTTATATCACCGAATATAACTGCGATGTAAATAAGACAAAAATAAAGAAACGCAAAAACGGTTCTCGTTGGGAATTATAGCTATTTGAAAGTAGATAGAAACGTCGAACTTGAACTTTTGTCCGAAATGTTGTAAATCAGCTGCGTCTTATTGATATCAATTCCTTTTTGTGCAATGATATGAACGTGCAGCGCACGTATGTACTTAGTACTTCTGTTTACCTGTTTACATAGTGAGATAGGCTCCTGCTTATCGTAGAGGCTTATATTCGACTGTTGCTGCTGTGAAGAATCTCGCTCTTGTTTAACTGATCTGATTGTTGCAGATCGAGTCCCTAGAACAGGTGGGCACATAAGATTCCCTAGCGAATACTGTTTATAGTTGTGCTCACTTTCGCTAGAAATGACGATGGCATCTTCCCTAGACACCTCTAGTATGCGATCGCTTAAAGCCGAATGTTGGATAAAAGGGCCACTGAAATCCTGGATCATATGCCGTAAAACAAACAGATATTATTGCATGTTATTATTTTATCGTATTCGGGCTTCTGGTTCTGTTAGGGCAACTAAGATTGCTGTTGGGACTTCGTAATTTTAATAGCCGCAAAAACAATGCAACTTCGCATAAACTTCTTATCCCCCCCCTCTCCCCACCCCTAAATACGAATCGCATCGCGCTGTACCTGAGAAGGTCTTGGAAATTTCTTTGCATTCGGACTGCTATTATTATGGTTGAAGGCTGGTAACTTGTTGAAATCCACCTCGAAGATAGCACCCTTTTAATTAAAAAAAAAAACCGACGTTAAATTTCCGTGTTATGTTTCGTAGTGCTAGATTCAAAGCGTGCCCCTCGTGAACCTATAAACATCGAGAGGTCCTACAGAACGTTGTGGTGCTCCTTGTCTAAAGGCATGAAGCTCTTTAGCGGGCAAATTTTAGACGAAGAAATGGCCGAACTATCGGCCGCTTCTGCGTCCATGGTTATGTAAATCGTTACAAGTGAGGTATGCTTGTTCCTGCCTCGAGCCTTTACAGGTCTGAGGATTTTCCTTTTTTTAACCTTTGACGAGGGTACAGCTACCGAAGGCATTACAGATTCGTTAACAATTTACTTTTGAAAATCGTTAGTTATTTACATATGCGGATATCAAAATAGATCTCTCTCATGAGCTCGCAAATATAATACCACTGCGCGCGTTTATAATCACACGAAGTCCACGAGAATATATGAGCTTTAATAGATACCTTAATAAACGCGAATACACTGATCTTCAACGACGAACGTTAAATCATAGTTAATTCCATACGTAACATATATAGATACTAGCATGCAAATGTAAAACATCATCTTCCAATTAGTCTATAATACCCTAACGGGTCCATTGGGCTGTTCTTCATGACAGCATTTCTGAGCTCGAGTTTGTTCAAGGGATCTCGTAATTTCGTAAATCTCTGTTGCAATCGCTTCGCACAGTCTACCCTTGCAAATCCTTTCCATATCACTCACATCTTCCAACTGCAATGATACACAATAGCCGTTAATGTTGAAAACCGATGTTTTTTGGAGTTCGGCATCCTTGGACAAAGTTTTTACTCGGTTATTATCTATATTATTATATACTTATTATATTATATATATAGACCCTCGATAGTCATCACAATTTTTATTATCACTTCCACTAATCGTACACACTTCAGAGAATAACGGCCAATAACGGGAATAAACCAAACAGTGGAAGTTCGAGACAAGTCCATATATTAACAGCACTTGTCCTAGCATAATGTGCCTCGTCTACCAACATCAAGTTCCTGAGATCGAAGCTCTATTGTGGAACTTCGACAAGGGGAAAACTGCAGCTTCAGCAACGAGCAGAAAGATTTGTTTAATCATTGAGTAGAATCGCTCGGCTCAACGCAGCTTCTCATACCGACAATAGCTAAACGCTGTACGTTAAACGTATGTTTGTCAATGACTTAGCACGTAGAGGTTAACACGCAAAGGTTACGAACGGTAGCAGAATATTATTCTTGCGTTCATTTGCCTTTAGCAGATTTTTTTTCTTAAAGCCAACCTATCAGCTTCGAAAACTCTGGATAAAACAAATCTGATCAAGTAAGTTCCACATTTTTTTGAAGGAATCTTTTTGATTAAATAGTTAACTTGTCCTTTTTCTAATACTGTATTTTGTCTTACGGCAAACCTGGAAATCTGTTTGGGCTGTCGAATGTTTAACCACTACGGCTTTTCTGTCGTAAAGTTTTAATGCTTGTTGAACGTCGTTGAGCTTCTGAAGAAACAGGCCACGCGGGTCGTGCAGCACGTAGTCGTCAGCAGACCAGTCAAATCGAGGTAAACAAATCGTATTTTCGGCTGCGTTCTGTAGTGTAATTACGGCGCTCTCATCTGTGCGCAGTCGGCATAAGTAAAGACATGTTTAAAAAAAGCAGGAAACACTTATATTCTCGTAACACAATAAACTCTAATGATTAGCCGCGAACTTCATCATTCATAACTTAGAAAACAACCTAAATATACGCTGATATGTAGAGCCCATTCGAAGGAATACTATTTTTCAAAATTAGTTCCCTAGAAGATGTTACGTACTGAAGGTTTTGTTAAGATAATCAGCCCGTGAGTAACAAGCCTGCACGAACCGTCCGATCAGCCGATCTAAGCGGCAATGCGACATCTCGATGAAATCTGCTTGATCTCGCAGTGCCGAGACTGAAGAAATCATTTCAGCGACCTGCTCCCTAGCAGCATCTCTGCTTTGCCATAGTCCACTAAGCGAATTTTGTTCAATGTCCGATATTTCTCTAGATATCTTCAGTTCCTCCTCTTTGCAATCCACCACCTTTTTAGAAATCGTCTCTGCCGAACACAGCATGAGTACATTGACAAAAGAAGCACTGACTTAGACTCACCGAGTGTGATTAACGCATTCATTGATTAAAACATATATAATAAATCTGTGCTACGATGTTATCTGGCATTGCGTCTTTTAGTTTGGCGGTTACGCGCTTGGACTCCATTGATTTGGCTATGTTTGATCATTGCTACTGTGTAGGCTAACATATGGTACAAAATACCATGAATACAATCAATGATTGTTTTCGGTTCCTGCGGACTGGAGTAATAGTCTACTGAGCAGATGAGCCCCCCAGCTTCCAACGCTCTTCGATATCGTAGTTATCTTATTGCGCTTTGCTTTTCAAGAATAGACAAATCATCAGGATTGATACTCAAAAGCACTCTATCCCGCGGCTCATTCGAGCTAACCTAAACTTATATGAGGCATCTATAGAAGCTCTGTTAAGATGCGAAGGGCGCCCATTAGCAAAAACAAATTACGATAACAATTGATACCTTATTAGAGGAGGACAAAAGTGTTAAGGCACATTGGGCTATTTAAAATTTACACTCACCGATCTCTTCAAGAACTTCATCAAGTTTTTTTTTAGCGTTATTTATTCGTTCTTTACATCTGGAAAGAGTTAAATATCGTTATTAAAAGAAATCATAAAATATATGCGGCAATTGTTATTTAATATTGTAAAATGCAGGCATTCGCCATTGTGACTCAGGGTTTCTTTTTTTTGATAAATCATGCGTTAGTGTTTATAAATAATATCACAATGGAGTGAAGAAAACGCTACACACCTAGATTCTTCGTCATCGATTTTTTTACTTGCAGCCTCGTATTCTAACTGAGCATTGACGAGGACTTTGTGACTATTTTCGGCACGCTTTGCCCGCTCGGACCGCTGGTCATCAACTTCTACCTGAATCTGCGAGAGTCTACCATCAAGCGAATTAACCTGCTGCTCAAGTGTTCGGATCTCTTCATCAAGCGAAATTTCAAGTTCAACTTCATTTTTGATTTTATCTTCAAGTTCACTTATCTTTTTGTTCACTTCGGATAACTTTGTGGAGACTTCCTCACACGCGTTTGCTGATAGTTCCAGACTCTCTTGCTCGAGCGATAGCTAACGATTGCAATGAGCGATTCCATTAAGGGGAACAGGGCACATTTTACTATGCAATGACATTAACTATTGTTATGACTATTATTGTCAACTTGCTATAAGTGACAGGCTCTCTACTTACACACGCCATAAATGTCATCTACTTACCAAAGCAAAGTTGTAGGCCTATAATTTGCTTATCCTTCCCTCAATTACAGAAAACTGTACAAAAAAAGGTACACACGAAGTCATGTTACTATGCTTAAACGCCTGAAATCTTGTTAATCCTGTATATCTCGTGCTAACGTTTCAGATGTCCTACAGGTCTACAATTGCCAGCTTTCAACAACTCTTCATCTACAGCCCTGCCTTTTGGTCCTCCTTACGCTGAACGGCAAGATAACTTTAAAGCAGACTAAGTAGAATTTTACCATGAAATTTCGCATGTTTGTCCAATCTTTTTAACGCTGAATAGTGCAGGAATCAGTATGTCTTGTCTAAGAGTATTGAATTTAATGCGACTAGATTTAATGCAAGATCTCGGAAAAACAATTGAGTCTTGGCCAAAAATTGGTCCATGCCGTATGGTATTATGTGGGCTTGGAACCGCCGAAATATAATTGTCCATGTCAACAACTATTACAGTTACACGCGTACTCGTTGATACGAAATGATGGTTCGTATATAAAATCCGAGTTTACATCATTCTAGCTACACCTGTCATTGCTGATTTGAGACTCAAACCGTTTCTGAACCGCATCCGTACACGTGGATGCGCACGATCCGGGATTATCGTTTACCGTAACGTAACACTATCAAATTCGGATAGGCGGTTATTTACTTAAGGCACCGATTAAAGGCCGATACTGAATTATCTCTTTATCTAGTGGGTACTTAGCATGGGATACTAAAGCAGCGAAACGGTAACCAGATTACTCGGTCAGCTACGGCGTTCCTGTCAGTAAAAGGTGTTCGGCAATCACTACATTTAACTGATCATAATATGTATGCGCAAAACTTACCGAACGTTCGCTTTTCTCCAAACGAGATGAGATTCTGATGAGTAAACCTTCAAGCTGGTCGTGCTCAGTCCCGAAGCCTTCGACGGGGTATTGAACAGCTCGCAACTGGCTGACTAATATAGCGTTTTTCTTAAAGCAAAAAACAACCGTGAAAAGTTTGGATAGATACAAGCATTTTGCAGTACTAAAATACATTGCGATTGATAGTTGAAGTAAGCGTGCGTATTGTGTTGTTAGTAGAGGCGATTTTACTTGACCCACTCCTGTCCATCCATATGCCTGTACGCATATGGTGCACGCACATAGATGCTAGACGACACAATTAATTTTAAAGATACAATGTGCTACGCCGCATTGCTACATCAGCAGGGTATCTTTTCATTTTGTGACACGCACCGCAAAGTTAAAGATGGCTGACAGAATGAACTGTAGACCCGGCGAAATTTAAAATAATTTCGAAATGCATAATAAAAGAAAAAGAACAAATGTTGCTAACATCGACTATACGATTTTACCACCTAATAGTAGAATCTCTACATTCTCTCTGTTTTAAAATCTGCTAAATTCTTATCTAATCAGTTAATCCCATGTTTCTACTGTTTCTAGCCACGAACTTGGCCAACTTTTTGATGAACCTCTGCGAACAGAGACATTATTCGTATCGTTATGAGTGTAGATACTTTCCACTCGGTTTCACCTAATCGTTGGGTAACTGCATCGATATAAGATGATGGCAACCGTCCTACGAACCTCTAGAGAACGGACAAAATGGCCGGCCTCGAGTATGAATTGCTTGACAACAAGGTCACGATATTCAATCAGCTCCAGCAGACTTTTCACCGAAGCTTCATGCAGCTGAACCGAATCCATCAATGATGGCAGCCTAAGTATAGCAACAGAAGAAAGAAACTACACAAAGTCATACCCATACAGCCTGCAGTACTGATAGATAGCTATATGCGACAGATATATACAGACTTGGCACATCGTAAGGAACGACCATTGAAAAAGGATTAAGACCAAGGCTAGAGCTTTAAGAAGAACTGAACGCTTGGCAATTGAATCAGTGAGTTTCGGGTTTCAGATTCACAAGGCGGAAAGTTTCAAAATCGCTAGAAAGAAAATTTGCGTTTTTAGTAAAAAAAAAAAAAACAGAAAAAGTTATCTATACATTGATATATTTTTAAAAAGAAGATGTTTATTCTTGCGAGATTGATTTTTTTTCTTATAAGTGTCGTTGAACCAATCTTTAAATCAATCATTGTGGATTCTGTCCGCATGATACAAATTAGGGCAGACATCTTAACAAATGTATAGATATACTAAGAATCCTACTAATAAACACGATAGCCGAGCAACGTATTGTTCCTTTTCAACACTAAATAATTAGGCAGTTCTCCAGGATCAAAGCCCTACTCATAAAACGAGGATCCCTTCATTCAGTATCCTTAGTTTAAGATAACTACCTCTACTCTAGACGTAAAAGATCACCAAAGCATTTCTTTTACATGCTCATAATTCTTGGACAGAATTTCGATAAAGGTCAAGCTTGATTCTTCTGTGTAACTTCTCCACGTTTTGTGCCGTATATGGTATTCTGGAAGGTACTGCTAGGAAGGGAATCCTTTCGATACGTCACGGTCACCGAACTCCGATTTGGTTTTTAATCCTAGTTCATTAATTTAATGTAAATCTAGAAAACCTTACCTCTCCGCAACGATTACTTTTATTGTTTCCAGATCTTGCTCAATTTTGCGGTCTTTCTCCTTGATTTGACCCAGAAGGTTTGCTTTATCCTTATCCATGCTAGCCAGACTGGGTTGGGGCACAATTCTCCTTCTTTGTAGCGATCCTGTCGGGTCCTGCTAGTGAGAAAAATAAATAGAAGTATTAAATGTAATATTATATTGACATATAATACGCCCTAGATAGATATACCCCTTGCAAAATATCTTGTTAGGGTGTAAACTACAATTATACGGTCTGATAGTATCAGGCCGAATTGACGAAGAATTAAGCACTTTAATTAGAGGTAAATCATAATCGCAGGTCACTATTGCTTGAATGATTTAGGAAAACAATCAGTCTATTAAATTAAAGTTCTCTGGTGTTCGGTAACAGGGTCTAACGCCTGCATCGGTTTGTGTGATAGTATTTAGGCTGACCTAGAAAGACAATAAAATTACCTATTATTTGCTTAATGGTGATAACTTGAAAATGTTATGCTTTATTGAGGGTCGACCGTTTTCAGGAGACTTGTCGTTGTTGACCTGGTAAACTTCAATATATAAACACTGTATTTATAAAGAAAAAAAAAAAAACTGATCTTTGGTGACATTATAGAAGTTCGCAGGTATTGCGGTTCTATGTTTATTAAGTGCAAACATATTGAAAAAGAGTAAACACCATTTCTAATTGATTGATGGATTTCAGGAAGCCACACAATTTCAACATAATGGTTAAAAGAAAATGGTTAAAATTTAATATATAGACCAACCCACGCTAATGAAACGCTCTTCATTGTGCCTGATGTTAGAAACTAACGATTAACAATGTGTTTTAATAGATGACTATTGTCTCGCAAAGAAGGGTACTCACACTGCATTGACTAACGGTAGACATTTCTTTAGCGCATGGGCTGCTCTTAGTAGTGTCCAAAATTCTATGCACATACAAACAACATATTTGCACTGTCTCAAATGTTAAGCACCCGCCAAGTTTTGAAACTGTGACTTTTGCGTTATAATTTTGTGCTTAGAAAGCATTAGTGGCGCAGGACTAATATCAGCTGCGTGCACAACAGCCAGGCGAGCGGGCACGGATTAGACTGCATGAAGAAGCGCTCCCTTCCTCAAATACCTGTTAAGTCGTTGTAGTTGACACTTTTCTGCCTTTTCGATTATTAATCACAGTAATTTTGGATTTTGTATAAGCTTGGACGTACAATAGCCATCGAGACACCACCCACATTTATTAAGACACTGATTAACGCATGATGATGAATAAAAGAAAGCAGGCATTGCTTTTCGAGCCATGCCAACAACAAATAACTACATTATACAATTTAGGTGAGTGAAGATGACTATCATTGTTCTTCAATACATATACACATTATTTCTGATAAATAATTTACGCATAAACTAGTTGATTACTCAGCCGTAAATGCCAAGCTCATCCACCCCTCCTCGAGTTTAGATAATAGCAAACTAGTTTATCCTAAAGCAAGTAATATGTATCACTATTATTGAACCATTCTGAACTGTACATCATCATACCTCACAATAAAGGACAGAGACTATATGAAACAATGTATATATCTACCAAAACCCTTAGAGTTCAACGACATCCACCAATACAGACGGCTGATCAATCATTAGCCTGTAACCGCTACAAGTACCTCCTACAACTCGAAAAACATGATTAGAACGTTTTATTGTACAAGCATATGAAGTAATGCATGAATATACCTATACAGAACTTCGCAGGCAGTAAATACAATACTGATGCTGATATCCTGATATACCTGTAAACTTCGTTTGCTCACACAGAAAGTCTTTGATGCGTATTCCTTTAGATAGATCGAAGCTATTTTTCTCTTGAACTTCGTCTCGGAACATAAAATCGTCTCGCATCCTTCAGAGGTTTCATGCGGGCTTTCGGTTGCGGTAAAAGTCTTACTATCATTAATAACGGAATTCGAATGCGGCCAAGTATTTAATAACGGAAACTTTACCAATTTCGATTGGTAAGTGTTTTAACAAGCACGAGTGTCAAAATAGTCAGGATAAGTATTATAATTTCAATCAGGCTATGCAATTTGGCCCCATTTCTGTGTCTCTATATATGAGGTATGATCACGGCGAGCGCAGTTGTCACGCGGTATAGAAAAGGGTGGATGGATACGAGGTGCTTTCAAAGCTCTGCTATTTCCTATTAAGTTTCAATGGGTGAAGTATGAGGTAGGATTAAAGGTTTTTGCTGGCGCCATTGCAACAGGCACTGGCCAGTTCAATGTCAAAATGTATTCTGCCCTTGTCGACAAGAGAAACGCCTTGTCCCTGACAAGGACAACGTGAGCTGTAGCAGCTATATCAAGGACTGGTTATCGATAGAAGGATCGCTTCTGCGTTGATGCATTGACCGTAATTAGGCAGCGTCTACTTGTAATCATCATCAACTTTCTGTAACGCTATCGCATGACACTTTAGTAATACGGATAACGTATCGGCACAACGGACCCATCATACGGAACTGAGTGGGCGACGATTGCCAACCGGGCACTGTCACATGTGCTTATCTGTGCTCATTACGGTGTTTTCGTTCAGTCTATTTTTAAACTTGACGCCGACTAGTGCATGGCAATAAGAACTCCTTTCTGTGTCTTCTTCGTCGAATTTGCAGCCCATGTTGTGTGTCGAGTACAGATCCTTTCGGGAAGATCATTCCACTAGGTCAATAAGCCAGCCGATGTAACAACAATGGAGTAAAGGCTTTATAGTAAGTTAAAAAAAAAAGGCCAACAACGCTTAGGCTACGAGGACCTAAATGTCACCGACTTCTGTCATGTCACCAATGGACGGTAAAAACGACGATGAAAATGACCAATGGACGGTAAAGATGATAAGGCTGGAAACGAATGGATGCATACTTTTGGCACTGTAAACTACGCTTTGCTCCACTTGATCGCCTCTAATCAGACACAATCTTCCAGGGCCTCTTATGATCTAACTGAACAGAAACATAAGAGCGTTGACGAACTGCAATCGCTGTGTGGTAGGCCCACATCTGCAGGTACACGACGGGATAGGGTACAGAGACACGAATCCATGAATATGCCTGGATTGGCAGAGAGTAAATGGAAAAGGGAGAGACAAATCGTGTGAATTAAAACGTGTGAAAAAAAAAATTTTTAAAAATGCGTATACTCTTAACCTGCCGCACAGAGCTATCGCTTAACGGACCTCGATGAAATAAGGGCAAACACTGGCATGCATTCTTACAAGTGCAATTATAAACTAGGTCCAGAAGCACGGCGACGACGAGTAAGGCAGCGTCATGCTATACATAATTCACTTTCAACCATACTGTTCTATCGAAATAGAGCTATACTAACAGGTAGAATTGGATTCAACAGGTTATTGAGTTGTGTGTGAGGTTGCTGAGCTTAGGTGACAGAGCGGACAGACATTAAGCAGTTGTATCGTCGCCAATGAACTGATAGGAACCGAACCAATACTTTACGTTAATTGTGTAGGTGTACCAAAGAGACTATCTAGATCGCTGCGTTTTTCCTGATATCTTCGTATCTCCACTAATCGGCTTGCATGACTTCCACATGTACATGCAGACGTCTTGAACTTTTCCAACTGGAATGTCAATGTTTAATCAACTACAGTTGATCATTCTGAAATAACCATAAGTCTTTCTGTATGTGAAGAATACGGAGGCCATTAACGAACTTTGTGGACACATTCTAAAATGGAAAGCTATGTAACACAGCCATACAATGAGGATAAAGCATGGATAATGTATTTTGTGCATGCAAGTATATATATATATATATAATGGGGGTACGTTTAAGTTCAGATGTCTTGCTTAAAAAGCGTAACATAGCAAAGTCACTCTCTGTGACGCTTCATTTAGTTTTCAACCTTGATCCGTGTTTGATCAGTCTCGTTAGGAATTCTCAAGCCCAGCTTTGAAAAATTTGCCCATCCAGTTTTTGAGGTCCAGGATTTATTGCAAAACGTAATATAAGAAATTTCACACGCACATGATTGGTAAAGGCGGCAGTCCATCGGCGCGAAATTTGAAGAGTATAGTAGATGCGAGAAGGCTTTTATTCAGGCTTTTGCAGGGCGATTTTAATAACGTTTGCCATTATTTGTTCAGCATTCTCATGAATGGAAAACAGCTTAGCCTTATTAGTCTAACAGGCTTATTTCGTCGATGTAGCAACTGGGCTTACACATATTCTTGTAGATCGTTTCTCTTTTTCTCAAGCAAGTTCCCATCAAATGCAAGCCATAGTTATTTCCGACTTAACTCCCGCCGGTACTCATTTTTTCTGCATTATGTAGGCGAATAGATTGATCCGTACAAAATCTTCGTAGGATTTTTTACTAAGGCCGTATGTTGCTTGGCGCAGGACAAGACGTTGAAAACTGGATAGAAGCGGTGGTTCTTAGAGTTTTTCATTCAATCGATAAGGCACTCAGGCTCCTGATTTTTTAAGTGAATTTTATCGAGTAACTGAAGACAGGAACTCGTCTCCTCGGCCAATTTAGCAGTTGGTTGCCGGTTACCTTCTTTCAAGCTTACCACTAAGCAGCCTATATTGACCCTGGATGGTCGACTAAAGTTCAGGTCCCAAATAGTTAACAAACCACATTCCACTTTGGAACAGTCCGTTTAGGCATGGCGTCGACGTCGTGCGTGACATCAATATCCTGAGCTGCCCGGAGGCTTTTTGACTTATGCAAAGGACGAAATGGAGCAGGTATCAAAATGCCTTTTTTCATTTATCCTTGACATTTGAAATTGAAGGTAAAATGTCGTTCGCTGGACAATCAAATTACAAATAAGCTTAAGGAAAAGCAAGCAGCGCTTCCAAATATATTGAAGTAGAGGAAGTGGACAGCTAAAACGAGAAAGGAACATCTGAAGAAAAGATTCGCCAATACTTTCCAAACATTATCCTCATGACAAAGTACGTATTTACTTTTCTTCATGTTTCAGACTACATTTATGGAATATATTTAGCTGTTTGTGCCGAGTGTGAAGGACGCAAGCGTATGCCGTTAGTGCGTTTTGCTCATTTTAGGCCGTCGTAGAATTGCTTAACGCACAATATCTGGTTCGATAGCTCCGGCTTGTGAGTAACTGATTGATCTACCAATGAAAGGGGATCGATGGTGCAGTGCGAATGCGACGGCCAAGGAAGGGCAGGCAAAACCAGGCCTAGTATTAGCTAGAACATTGAAGAATTGAAAAGTCAAATATATACTTCCATCACGATTTAAAGCTGAAACGGGCTTTACAGACGATCAACGTTGAAGTTTCAAATAATATGTAGGCCTTATTATCATACACGTTTCGCACACAGCAGAAGTCAGAGTGCCGCAACCATGCTACCCGCATTCGGATCGACTTTTTGATGCACGCGTTTTTGGGATGAAGCCAAATCGCGTTACGGGTTCTGTAGCCAGTATTGGCCATTTTGTGCCTAAATAGCTTTTGATTTAAAATGAATAGTCGTGCGGGACTCCCAGTCTTCATTAGTCAACAGATACATTCGGTCTGTGCCATGGCAATCAATGTTGTATTTATTTCCATTCACCATAGGTAACAAGCAGCACATTGTCGATTGACATCAGTTCTTTAAAAAGTAGCGATAATCTTAAATACTCTTTCGGTAACAATATGAGTTATTGCTTCGCCGGGCTGACGAGGACATCAGGTTTCCATTTTCTTCATTTACTTCATTCATTATTACGACGTTGTTGTTGTCCCATTAACATCAATACCTTTAGTATTCGGCAGGCCTTGTGACGCATAGTCTTACCATTTCTACTGCTTCGGTAAAAGGTGCCGATGGATTGTAAACATAAGTGACACCGTAGACTAACTGTCTGCCAAATTGTCAAATGCAAAAAAAAAATATGTGCGTCTCGATTCCCATATTAACCTGATCTAGCGCTGTAGCCAATAGTAACGAAAAGTCTGCAGGGAACAGGATCGATGATATAGTAAAAAAAACTTTGGCTGTCCCGACAATTAAATGTTAAAAGCATTTTGAAGACCCGGAAAAACTATCAAACAACGCTTCAACGAGGACAACTTCGATTAGGGCGATGAAGTACATATTTTGTAAATATGGAACAGATGACTCATTTGTTCTTAAATAAAGGGTTACATGCGCCCTTCAGCGACTTCTGCGTGCGACTTCATTAGGGCTGCCGCGATTTAATAATGGCGGTTCGATGTTCCCAGATCTAGAAGAATCATATCTTATCGTATTACTTGCCTTCAAGCTTTTCCCTGATTATTCTTCTGGTTATTGTTCTAACCTAAGTGAAAGGCCCGAGAGAGCGTACGACCGTAGCGCGTTAATTTGCATTTTTAGATGTTCTAGATCATTTCACGTGCATATATAGAATTTATTAACTGGATAAAAGAGATGTATACTGTGATACCGTAGGATATATATGTCCGCGCCTCTTCATTGCTAAATATTTTCATATATTTACTGTAACCAGTGCATCACAAACTGAGCAATATTTATTGTATAAATATTTCTTAATATAATATATTAATTAATTATATTATATTAATATATTATATTAAGATATATATATATATATATAAAATAAATTAATAATATAAATATCACTTAAGCAAATTTACTTAGGGAATCAACGAGTATTTGATGCAAAAATTTCAGGCAGCTGACAGAACTCGATCCTTAGCGGAGAAACAAGCCCCGAAGCCGTTGTTCTAACCTCTCGGCCAATGACCACGACTACAGGAGTTCACGAGGCTTCACTTGCCTTACTTAAAACTTACTTAAGACAGTCAACCACTTGATTAAGCGGGATTGACTGGGTAGGTTTCTAAAAACACACCCTATCTACGCCTTCGAAGAGCTTAACTTACCAATCAAAAGAGAGAGAGAAATCTGAAGGCTATGTTTTTTACAGAAAAACCTGTGAAAAAAAGATTTATACATGCGCTAGATAGTCGAGTAAAGGGATGGTACAGCAACTTTGGTCCACACGTAGTGCTTTAGAAAGATGTTCGTACTTGTAGAACTGACACATCGTAAGACTAATGTGCCTTCGCTGGTCAGCCGAACATACTGTGTTCAATATCCTTTAGAGGAAGTTAAATGGCGTCAATTATATACGCTTGTAAGCTAGTTAGATTCACAGGGCAAACATTACAGTAAATATCAGTTAAACCTTATTCATACACTTTATATATACACAAGCTAACGACACAATAAAATACTTTGTTTCATATGGATTATGTGATTTTTGTTAAGTTTGTAAAACTTTTAGTAGTTCGAGTAACTTCTCACAAATATTAAACATGGAAAGACAAAGCGGATTTTCCCTGCTTGTGGAGCATTTGCACCTGTCGTCAGCCTCGTGAGAGCCCTGTTCGCTCTTGAGTCTACGGAAAACCTCGCATACGGTGAAGTAGATCATGACATTTCAGTTTAGTAAATTCGCTTCTTTCCATTAGTCGTTTCTTATTGATACCGGAAAATTTTCGCTTCAAAGTTCTAACATTAGCCTTATAGGTTTCTTATGCTAGGGGCTTAAGGTAACAACGCAGATCCTTGGACAGCAGAGGCAACTTCAGGACATTATATGTAATCCCAATACAGTGTCTTGATTAGGGACCATTCGGCCTTGTAAGCTAATGGAGCCTTGCATCAATTTATTTGTTTCGAAAAACATATAAATTCAGCTCGTTATAAACTCGCCGCAAAATAAGGCTATACATGCCAGGGTATATAAATATTAAAGATCGTATTGGAAAATGTCAATCATCTAATAAAACTCGAGGAAAAATGTTGACCCTCCTAAAAAGCTGTATGTGATTGCAATCAGTTTTGCAAAAAAGGATCATTGTTCGTCTATGACAGGTTCTCAGGTTGCTTAACCTATTAAGGTGCTGAGAAATCGGAATTGTGAATGATCCATGACATTGGCACATCCAACGGTAATTGTGATACAAAAAATCGTCCATGATCGACCATGATTTATGTTTGTGACAGTTCAGAATATGATACATTGATAGGTGATATTGCCTACGCTTGACGGTACGCTATGGTAACCTGATCACTACTGTTTCTTCGTAAAAGACAAGCTTGTTTAATATGACTAAATGTAATAACTTTTAAAAACACAATTTGCTTTTGCTCTGGAAAATACGCCTTGGGGTTACTTTAAACTTTGGGGGGTAGAAAATCGAACTGATCTGTTTATTTTGTCGTTATACTTGATTTTCACTTGAATTTCAAGGAGATGCACAAAAGTATAGCAAGTTAAACGGATTTTTAGAGATTTGCTCAGCAGACGACATATAGCAAGACAAGTTCCATTGAGCACGTGGCCTCACAAACACACGTCTGATGAATTCAGAGAGTCTGCTACCACCCATTTTCCTTTATTAAAATTCCCATATAACAGCTTATCCCTCGCTCCTGTTCGCCGTACTTTGATCTTACATCGAGGAAGTAAAATTGAATCCCTCTTTGCGATTTGCTGTCCATGGCACCAATAAAACTGAATACACGTAGCGTACATTGTGTAATATATCATTATCGATGCTGAAAACGCGTATCAAAAGTCATTAGTTATCTTGCTTCTGCTCGAATTTATTGTGGCTGTTATAAATGTCAGAGTTATTGACCTAGTGATTTTCAATCAGATGCACTGCCACCATGGCGACACCATCCTGTAGCAACTTTCAATCTTCCCGCGCCATGGCGCTGTTGTTTCTATTGCTGACGGCCGATGATTTGTCGGTCGTGCTGCAATTGTTGCGCAGCAGCTGTGGCTTATTAGCTATCTGGCTCATATGTTATATCTACGCACGTAGCCAGTCGCCAACTGGTAGCGCTTGTTCCTAGCTTTTGTTACCTAGCGACGCCGATCAGTGCGGCTGGTGGCTGTTGCAGTCGGTCAGCACTGCCCATTAGACGGAAGCACATTCGATCGCTGCTGCTGCTGCTGCTGCTGTCGTTTATCGTCTTCTCTGCCACGATGTGTGTGAACATTGTGTTGTGTATGCTGGACGCATGCGCTGTCCGCTCGAAGTACAGTAGCACTGGCGGCGGTGGCGGTGGCGGTAACGGCAGCGTCAGCAGACGCGGCAGCGGTTTGCTGATAGCAGAGGCGCGCCGGCGCCAGTGCTAATGCCTGCTCACCGTCCAATTTGCGTGTGCGTATGAGTGACGACCAACAGCGGCAGCGATAGAAGCAAGCGCAACGAGTTGACGACGGCTACGGTACCGATGACGGGCTGTTACTACTGCACCACAATCACGGCGCGGCAGCGACAGTAATGACGGCGGCGGCGGCGGCCTGCCAGTCGGCGTTGGCAGAGGGCAACGCAGTGGTGATCGCAGTGGCGGCTAAAGCAAACGAACAAGCGACGGTGTCGTTCGTGATGTCTGTCTGTTGTCTGCGTGTGTAAGGTATCTCCGAAGGTCCCACACCAATCGCGCAGCAATTGCATGATAAAAATTGCTATAGTAGTCGACACAGTGGCCGCAAAAGTTGCAGTACCAGAAACAACAGCAGTCGCAGTGTCGTCCTGCCAACCAGAGCGAACCAGGGGGCGTCGTGGAAGACAGAGCATCAACAAGTATTCACCGCCACAATATCTCTACGAAAGTTCAGAGCACTTCGGTATCGTCCCGTCGCATCTGCTCCTGTTATTGGTCCTATTGTTTGGGCGTCTGTCCTGGCCCGGTCCAAATACTGTTGACCATCCGCCTACTCGGATTGCGACCCGCAGATGCTGCTGATTAGTGCAGTTGATTTAACTGAAATGGCCGTTTTTGTTCATTGGTTTGTTGGACGTTTACTCAGCTTCTATGAATTGCTCTCTAGGGCATAGCGAAACAGAAAGCTGTGTGTGTGTATGTGCGTATTTTTGTGTATTTGTGTCTGCAAGTCAGCTGTGTTCCCTCCAGGGTCCCGTTGTTCGATCCTACTGAAGATTACGCTGTTACGCATAGATTATCCAGGATTATATATCTGTATATGCATATAGGTTACTACCTGTCGTACTCAACGGGACGATGTGAACGGTGTTATGTTGTATCGTGTTGAAACTAAGCGCAGCAACAATCTCAGCAGATTGCGCCGGAGTAGCTACTTCTGAATGCGGCTGTACACCGGCTGCATATACTCGCACGACGACGCACGCGAAGATCTGTTTTAGTTATTGTCGTCGCTGCATGGGTGAATGCACAAACAGACGGTTCTGGTCCCATTTGCGTACGTGAAGCTCGTTGCTCAAGGCGCGACAGCGGCATGCTGTTGGACCTGCAGTCCAAATACTGAGGATTACTGTGAAATTAGCATTGGTGATTTGTTACACTGCCCGTATGTAAGTCACTGTACACATCCTACTTGAGAGAGCCTGTTTACGAAAAAGGACACGTTGCGGCCGCCTATGCTTAAAAGGTAAGAAGAGATGCGACACGAAAATTTCAAAATGAACAAGCAATAATGGAAAGGAGGTCCGGTTGAATAACAGCTGAGCCACAACTAACAAGAGGAACTAAATTAAGCGATATATGCAAGTTAAGGGGAAACTTCCTCTTGGGGATAAGTTGACATGTTGTTCGGTAGCAAGGGGGTTCATGCTCAAAAAAGTTCAATCATAACGATATTTGCTATCTACACGAGCTTTTCTATACGATTTCCGCCTGTCACTACTATGATTAGTTGTTGGATGGTTTCAGTAGGAAGACGCTGGTGAATTGAGACTGATGGAACTGGCTCTAATGATTACCGGCATCATCAGACCAGGGCAGGTTATAGCAGCTATCATTCAAAGCTGACGGTGCAGGCAGTCGGCGGTATTGTCAACATTTACTTACTGATTTCGCCTATTGTTGTTGTTTAGGCGGCGTACCGCTAATGCTGCTGTTAGCATTAGTGCTCGTGCTACAACCAGTATCACAAACGACACAAGCAGCTGTCGTAGCAGCTGGCTCTTATCTGTTTATAAGGAAACTAGCGCTAATGGGCACCTTGTCCTCACTCAGTCTGGCTTTTGACTTGACCTACGACACTGGAACAATTGGAACCTCGTCGATGTCGCTAAGAGATAAGCAAAAACAATAGAACACGATTATCATATACGTTCGGAACTGAACCAATAGCGGGTACCTCCGTCTGTGTAGATCTGTCTATCTTTATCATTACCTATCTGCGTGTCACCTGATTTAATGGGGCTTTCGGCTGAAATGGAAAATTAGTAGTCCGCTTTAGTTATGGAGGTAAATTAAGTAGCCCGTTGAAGTAAACAAGTGCGTGTTTAAGTAGTAACGCAATAGATAAAATGAAAAAAAGTAACTCCCGTCCTGCGAGTACACGACGTTCTATCTCTGTCTCTATATCTACCTTTAGCTTTCCCTCTCCCTCTCTCTCTCTTTCTGTATGCTGCAGAGTACTTACATGTCGTTGTCGTACATATAGGACTCTCAGAATAAATGAAGACTTGACGAACTGTTTACATAAAAGGGACCACGTTCATCTGCTATCCTGCGTACCCAAAGAAAGCTAGAAGGTAAAACCAAGAACCGAATATGGCGGAGCAGGAGTTTCGAAATGTGAACGAAAATTAACTATTGCTTAATGTCTTTATGTTGGAGGCACCGAATTTTGCCGAATTTATAAGTGTACATGGGGCTGGCGGTTTATGTCAGCGCCAGTGATCATACAATTTTCGATAAAGACATTTTTCGTATTTCACTAACAACGACTGAAGGAGTCAAAACTTAGATTAATAATGTAGATATAATAATAAGGAAATATTAATTATCGTTATGTGCCTCTTGAAGCGTTTTTGCCTTTTTAGTCCTTGGAATCTCTAAACGTATAATTTGTTTCTTTATGGTTAAGATAAAAAATTTATGCATAAATATAGCTAGCAAATTACTTACGAGCCGTAAAAGCAATCCAGGTGACTATATATGTACTATAGTATACTTAATAATGTACAGTATAATAATCATGCTAGCTGTTCTGAAACATTCACTCCTGATCGCAACTAGAATGCGTAAACGGAATGCGGATCACAGTAAAAAATAAAAAGCATTAAATCATAATTTTTTTTCTACATAAGCCGTTTCTACAAACGTATGCTCCATCAAGTCTTATCGTTCAAGTTAATCAAATCAACCTAACGTTTAAGGTAAAAATCCTAACATAATCCAAAGGCAGTCCCCAAAAGGGATCCTAATTTCATTGGGCTTGAACACTATAGATCTGGTAGTGGAAAATGTAATACCTGGGCAGTACCTGGGCAGACCCTGACATACGAACCTCATGTTTCAAGCGAATGCGATCACCCAAAATTATCACTAAAACCTGAGTGGATCGTCGCTGTAAAGGGCATAACGTAAATTGACTTTCTGGAAAATCAGTATATGTTTAATAATAATATGCAGCAGTAGGTCAAGTGAACGCTGTCAGTGTTGACTGGTGTTTACGTTAACCGTCAGTTATTTTTGTCATAATATGAGCAGAGTATAACTGCCACGGGATTCGATAGAGTCGCATTAATGGATTCTTTCTATAGTTTGAGTTTGATTGAAACAGTTATTGTGTACAGTCTTGCAAGGAATACTATTTAGAACGCTCCTTCTATAGAGGAATGGTACAGTCGTCTGATTAAGCCAATTTGACCCATATATTCCCGCGGCCTGACAAGCGCCTATGTGAGTCTCTGTCGAAGTTCAATTAGCTGTGAAAAAAAAAAAGAAAAACATAGTCCCTAACCGTTGCCACGAGTGTCAGTCGAAATAAGACTGTGTATCAGAGCGGCCGCTCGAGAAGCTTTAAGCGTCAACTAAGCTCGTTCTTCGCAGCCTTGTTGGCGTGCAATTCACATTTGGCTACCGTTTGCCAGGAGACATGCTGTTAGAGCTGCACATCGTAGACTTCATTTTTTGTATCAAGACCAGTACTTACTTTAGCTGATCAGATTGTTCCGTTCGTACATTGACACTATACGTAGAAGTCAGCCTCGCAGCAAAATGACCCCACTTAAAAGTTGTTTGAAAAAGCTGCGTCTATGTATTCTTCCGGTGTGACGTTCCGGTGTGCGAAAGATCTGCTATTATGGTCAACCATTCTTTTTTTTTACTAAAAGCCAAACGGAACGCCAACCTAACTATAACCAAGCTAGCTACGGCTGTCGAATGAGACGTCCTTAAGCAATGGCTCTACATCTTAATACCGAAGCACCATATTGACGTAACAGCTATATTGAACAAGCCGGGCAAATGGTTCTGACATTTACGCAATGGCCTTGTAAACTAAGTTAGGGGGAGAGTGACGCTTCTAACTTCCACCGTTGGTCACGTGAAATTAGCCGGCAATGCGAAGCTTTACAGTTGAATATTGATTTTATCTACGTAGATAATATAATCATGAACAATATAAGCATGTGCGAAGAAATTTCGTCTATAGATTCGCCGATTAAAAAAGGGATAATTATGCTAGGTCGGCATGGTGCTCTGTTCCAGTGAAGCTGATTCAACGAAGAAACACAAGCAGGCTGGGAAACTCACCAAGTAACCGATCCAGTGTCTCTACTCAAAACCATCGTTGTAGTGCCTGTCACATATCTCTAGGAATAGCTAGAACAAAGTAATTGCTGTTGGATTAATTTGCCTCCAACCGTACTAGATCTGTCATCAAGAACAAGCGCTCATACAATGACAAGATATAATACTTTTTAGCGGCTCGTACTTAATCTGTACCAGTCTGCATACCTTAGGTTGACCCTTCGATTTCCCAATTGTACGAATGGTGCACAATATTTAAGAGATATTTATCTTAATAGTAAATTGACGTAGTTACGGCACACATCAACCAAATGACCCCGAAATGTTCGTTGATGAAAGGCCGAATACGTCGTGTCTAGTCGATGCGATGCAATCTATGACCACCAAGTATTGATCCATTCTAGCGATGCTATGTAAAATAGAAAAGTTCACCAGCCGCCCTGTATTCATTCATTCATTCATTCTGAATCGATCAAAGAGTCTTATGTATAGAAGAGAAGCTTGGCAAGCGCTTTCCCAGTATATCATTGGAAGACTTGCGGTCCTTTAACTCGGAAACGATCGGGCCAATGAATCGACTCATGATAAAGGTTTTTGTCTACATTATACACATTCAAGACGCACGCAGACGGCTTCAAAGTAGAACTCACACTGCTAGGCCGATCGCTCAGCTGAAACGCCGCAGAGCGTATATATTACAGAACAAAACCTTCCTATAATAAACAGAACAGAAGCGTCTTTCCAAAGGCGACCAAAACCAATAACGACTTTTTTTTGCTCCTAATTATTTATATTTTTCATCGTATAAACTGGTACAAACCCGAATGTGACGGCGTTCTACTCACCCTTTTTGCTGCCGCTGCTGCGACTGACAACTTTAGCTATAATGAAGTAGCCTCAATGTGTTGTTAGGCCTACGAAGATTTGTAGCGCACATATAAATAGTTGATTAGGGGGCTAGCTTAGCAATCGCGACAGCTTTATCTGGCCTTTCCTTGAGAAAAAAAAATGCCTTTCATCTCTGTGATCGAAGCAGAATGTGTCATATGCTCTGTGGCGGCAGCCATGCAACGGTCATCTAGACCACGCCTCTACCTGATATGAGTTGGGAGGGAGAGTCTCTCATCGATTTCTTTTTTGGACAATTATCATGAGTTTGGTAAAACGCATACTGACAATTGCTCAGAAGCTGCATGGTGTACTGATTTGACAGAGTGAATCCCTGCATTCACATGATGAACGAATGATAACATAATAACCGAAAGTAATCATTCTTTTAGCTACGTTAGTTAGGTCATATAGATTAATCTGACTCGTCAAGCCCGCTCACTGCCCTCTATTGCCGAGAACGGATCCGATCATGCCTTCCTGCCGTGCAAAATATAAGATTTCTATTCTATGCCATGTTATACTCTGTAATGACGCTCCCCAGATATAGACAAAACGCACGTATATTAACACCACATCAACTGAATGCGACCAGTCGTTGAATTTATATCTATATATAGTTGCGCCCCCTCGTGTGCCTGTAGCCGTTGCTATTCACGGCGACGGTGGGTGTTAAATACGTTTCTGGACAGCTTGTTTTCTACTCGTCGCTGTTATATAAGTAAGTGACCGCTATCGTTGCTATAGCAGTTTTGTTGTTGCTGCTTTCTGCGGCGCGGAGGGAGTGGAAGGACTGACACACCCATGAACATGGGTTAGTCAGGCACCGCGCCGGCCTTATCTCTAACCTGTCTGGCCGCGCCTTTCCGATCCTTTCGGCTAGGCAGTGCGCCAAGACGACAATCACAGTACTCTGGACTAACTCGAAGCGTTTCTTTTTACCCAGCAATAGAGAAAGCAAGCTCTAGAGTCGTTGCTGTTACTAATGGTGATCGT